GCGACAAACGTTGCTGTGTTGCTTTTTATAAAGCTTTGCTCGATACAGGCTGTCGTTTAATCATTATATTGGCCGGAATTACTTATTTAACATGAAATGATTGCATAAACGCAATATGCAACACGTGTATATGTGCAACATGATTTCGTAAACAAAATGCCTCATCATTACTTACAATACTCGATAAACTGATAAACAAAACTGTCGTTGCTTGGGAATTTTTATTGTATTTATTATAAACAATTTTCTAGTTTTGTCAACCGTAGTATTTTGGCAATGTATTGATGAGTATAACCTATGTCATGTTTTGTCAATCTTGTTTAACAATCATTATATACATTAAATCTAATCAGATTGGAATGCTGCTCGGTGCTAAGTTGATATTCCCCGCCATATCATCAACATGTATCGCCAGTGATGTATATGGCGACTGATTTCTGCCATGGTTTTCGCTCCGCGGGCGCCAGACGAAGACATGAGGATAAGAAAGTGTGGTGACTTTGTCGTATTTTCGTCTAGAACCCCGTAAAACGACTGGCGAAAACACGAAAATATGACAGTGGTGACTTTGTCGTACTATCGTGTTTTCGCCTGGCGCACCGCGGAGACAAAGTACGACAAGGCGTTGGTTTTGTCGTCTTTTCGTGTTTTCGTCATGCGCCCCGCGGAGTAAAACACGACATGACACAACAGCCAACATAAATGTATGTGCTTACAGTGCCATAAAGCATATGCTTGCTATCTGAAAACGTTACAGGCTCGGTTTGATTGAGCCTGTTTATGGACGTTAGTGGTAAGTGCAAGTTACCATCTACGCTCTCTAGCACCGGCTTAACTGGAATTCAAGTTCACATTTGGATATGGAAATTGTGTACATTTTGAATTCAAAACATCAGTAGTCGTTTTCATATGATGGTTAATTATAATGGAATCTTCATCATGACACGTACTTATTAATCCACGAAAGGCGTCGTATGGTCTCAAAGTAGACGAGAAAGCAATGAGCTAAACTGAATAAAATGATAGTTTGAAAGGGAATCAGAGGTTATGAAGCCTGCATATCACAAAGGAAGACAATAAATCTAAAGGATGATTGTATTGTATTCATGTTGGAGAAACAAGATCAAATAGATAGAAATAAAAATAAAAGGAAATATCAGTCTCTCCATTAACGGGTTCGCATACTAGTACTCACAATAGCATGGGATCAAGTGATGCAAAAAGCTATATAAAACTAAGCTTGCCTAATATTTCTCTTTTTATTTTATTTCATTGTCCCTCATTTATCACAATACCCAAACACTATTTAAGCCGGAACGAGAGGAATTGCGCGACAGAGACATTAATTTACTCAATCAAACGGATTCTGCGATTGTTATAGAATTTGTTTATATAACTCTCTGAGTTGCCCCTTTTCAGTTTTTTTCCTCTTGAAAATATAACCCCTGTTGCCTTTCTGAATTATCCTTTTCCAATTAAATTGGAATTGACAAGTTAATTGGTAAAGGATAGCAGACCATGTAGAAATAAAAGCTAGCCTTCATTCAAGTTCTCAATATGCACAGGTAAAAATTTACAACCACCGATAATAATTGTCTCAAAAACATTCATACAGAATAAACGAAACGGACTCCAGAATATGAAAACCAACGCTAATTATTGTCGTCAAGCAAAACCGTCCTCCTTTCATAAAATCTAAAAGCTCATCGTTCAAGTTTACACGTTTCTACCCACGTTTAATTAAACATCGGCTAGTGACGTTTTTATTCTGATGAAAAATAACCACAGCAATTATTAATAGATGTTGCAGTCGTATAATATATACATTAGATATGTTAGCCATTCCTTCAGAGCAATGCGTTAAAGATAATGGAACACGTCTGGACCCCAGACAATAAATCATACTAGCACACTTGGTTAATGGGGGCTACTGCCCTTTGTTTATGCTTATTTCCAGATGTACAACAAAATTCAGAGTAACACTAAGAAAACAGAAAAAGCACAGTAACAAAAACGCATACATACTTGGGTCCGCTAAACTAGATTCTTTCCAAGATGATTTTTATTGTATTAATTAAGCATTTTTTAACAAAACAAACTGATACTTTTGAAGAATATAGAATACCTCGAAAATGGTTATTTTCATTGAGAACTACCTTTCACCAATCATTCAACATGTTGAAGCGAATGACTGCATTGATTTAGAAACAATTTGTAGAACAACATATATTGATATGAAAAATCTAAAACTTAGTGTATCAAGTTGTAGATAATTACTGAAATGTTGCATATGAATTGATTGAGAAAACTGCAAATGACATGCCATTTATATATACAGAACCAGACAATAGTAATTTACTTTCATAAATACTTAATAAATATAATTGTATTTTGATGTATATAAATTTTAACAATTTGAACCAAGTATAACACCTTACACGCTTAATATTCATGTACCAGTGTGTAATGGTAATGGAAATCCAAATAGTTTCCATATTATTACAAATTTATCTAAACCAAGTAGAAATCCCCATTAATTCCGCTCATATTCATGTTTATTTCTTGTGCCTTTTTAAAAAGGACCCTCTTCAACTGATCTTGTTCTTTAAGGTATATATTACAGTCCTTGATTCTCCAAGATGTGTTAGCCTATTTTCATTTGCTCCTATTAGAGGGCATGATGACGCCACAAAATCCGAAAACGAATTAAGTAAATCAAAATGAGTGCTTAGTTTTTAACCATATCTTTCTCCCAGGATACATTATTAATCAACTCTATTTTGTTTCAGATGTCGTTGTTTCTACCACTGTGTTTCGTTGCCCTCATCGGTTTCCAATTGGCTGACGGTTTTGGAACAGGGGCACCAGATTCCCGTTGCGGGGCAACAGCAGGAATGGTTCCGGAGCACGGTACCCCACCACAAACAGAACAAATCCCGTTTATTTTATCGGCAGAAAATGGACAAACTACTTATACCACAGGGGAAATAATATCACGTACGTAAATTATAATGTAGATGCAAATCTGATAAATGAGATAAGTGAAATGAATGACAAACGTTCAATAAGGTATAAGAAAACAGTGTAATAAAACTTTATTCTAAATGTATACAACCTAATTTCATTGATGGTATGAAATTGTTTTCAGCATTTGTAATTACATACAACAATGTTATGTTACTTGCGAATGAAGTGACATTTGCCACTGAAACCATTTGCAAAATAACCTATTGTCAGAATAATATTTTACAAGCGTGCGATTGATTTCAAAATAATTATTTTATTCAAAGGTAACAATTAATGACCACAAGTTTGGAAGTAAAATATGTTAAATATTTGTTTTTTATTGTTACAATCCACCAAACAACTGACTCTATTTAACATTTATATGTGAAGCTGGAATGTTCAAACTAGCACAACCTGTGGTATAAGCCCTATCTATCTTTTCATTTTTCATACAATAATGTAACTGTACCCTTTGAGATTGTCAATAAATCGAGAATGACGGGAGGGAAAGTTGCAAAATTTTGTACCACTATTTATGTACACGTTTTCTGTTGAAAACCCGTAAAAACCCTACGTTTTCTTTGATATCTTGAATAATTTCTTTCGAAAATATTTTATTTACATATCACTTAAAGAGACCCAAGATTTTAGATTTTTTGGGGGGTTTCCTGGACCGAGATTCGAACCTCAGACCTCTCACATATTTGAACACCACTGGCATGAAAAATAGTTTTCATTCGTTAAAGAAGTAATGTCTATACACTCTTTTAAAGTTTAAAACATTTTGTTATTATATTGTATTACAGTTACTCTAGAAGGGGACAGAACATTTACTGGATTCCTAATACAAGCTTTATCGTCATCTGGAGCAATCGTTGGTAAAATGATTGCTCCCCCTGGTGGACAAAGTAAACTACTAAATTGTGGCAACATAGTAAGTTTTTTTATAAATACGTTATATTTTTCCCTTTTCGTAAAAAAATACTTCTTTTAATTAATAATATGAATATTATGACATATTGAATAAAAATAAACACAGTGTATAGCATTTGGCTGCATTTTGTATATGTCTTAAAGGAGAACTGTCGTAACACTATTTATTTATTTTTCTGATCAGATAGAAAATAATGTCATTATAAATGGAAAGTTTGTAGAAACTAAATTTTCTGGTAAGAAATTATTAACTTTACTATTTGCATAAACATTTCAACACATTTAATCATTACCTAATTACAGGGTAGAAATGGAATAACTCACACAAGTAACCTGGCAAAATCAAGCTTTACCTTCCAGTGGGAGGGACCAGACACGGAAACAAACGGAGCTGTCACCTTTCTGTACGTGTTGAAAGTTCTCTTTACCATGTTTAAAAATAATCTTCGTTACTTCATTGGCATTCAACTTATTTTTCTTGTAAAATGACTGCTTTAACAGAGCATGTTGAATGTTAATTTTACTCGTGAGTAAAAGCATTGCTGCAATTGTGCTATTAAGACGGAATTTTATAGTAATGTTTCCAGAATGCCAACATTCATAAAATACATACTGCTTAATCTCTTTGACCAACTATGTTATAATTCTTACATATCAATTTACGATTGTTCTAATGATGTTATGTCGCTTGAATGTTCATAAGTTTGCGATGTATTTTAAATGTCATGGAAGCCTTTTGTATTTTGAAATTATTGACATTATTTGAGTACTAGTATTGTATTAACCAAACTGAATTTCGCAGTGTGGAAATACAATAATAATGTTTCAATTTTCAGTGTAACAGTGGTTGAAAACTACTCTACGTTTTGGGTCAAGCAATTTCTATTAACGCTGACTGCATCTGAAGTTGAAACACCAACAACAACCGTGCAACAAGAGACCGGCGAAACAACAAATTTATCACCCACAGTTACTCCTCTTGCACAAACAACAGTTGTAAGCTCTTCTGCAAGTACACCACTAATCAAACCTATCTCACAGGTAACAACTAACAACCTACTTCATAATGCTAGCACACGTGTAACCAGGATTGATATATACACTGCACATAATGATGTATTTAATGCAACTATTTCTCAAACATATAATAATACATTTGAAAATAATGGTATTTTAGATGCACGGAAAAACGTATCATCATTTAGTTCAGCGATATATAACTCTAGCTTATACCCTACGACTGTTGCCTATAACTTAAACAAAACAAACGAAATTATTACAAGTTCTAATGATCCTAGAATATATACCAAAAATAAAATTACAACCAATTATGATAACACAAATTATTCCGATCCTACCATTGAAAACGAATTTGTAAATACTATGTCTATTTATGAAACAACACCCTCTGTAAGTGACTCAGGCAGAAGTTTTGACACCGTTGATAACGTTCAGCAGTTTACTGTTGGACAATATGTTAATGTCAATCATCGTACAAAGGCAAGTGATTCAAATATGCCAGAAACAACTCATAGAGATCTGTCACCTTTCGATAAAGGTTTTGAAAACTTAGATCAAAAAGAAGCAAATGATACATTTGAAAGTCTTAATGTGCCGACATCGCAATTCAATGAATTGAATTTAAATTCTATAAATCAAAATAATAGCGATCAAATAAATGAGTTACCTAGATGGACAGACAATTACAATCGGATTAACTGGACACGCACTGACTTGAATGACAATTATGAGAACGCCAGTCTTGATGAACCACATACAACTACCAACCACGGATTAGGAAACAACCTGAAAGACACGTGGAGTCAGTCATTAAGAATTACGGAACTACCTTTATCAGATCCAAATCGAATATTTAAAGTTGCTAAGGAAATTCTGCTAAAAGACAGGAATCACGTTGTAACATTCAGAGAATTAATTAAACCGTTAGACTTCTCTGGAAATAAATTAACTCTAAATGATGTCAAAACAGACGACAAAGCAAACTCATTTCCGCAGAATTCATATCAGTTTACTACTGAAACTGCTGAGAAAACACAAGATATTAATATCCCTACAGCGCCTTTTATTCCGGAAACGACACCAGTGTCAGTAACAAATAGACCACTATTAGATATAGTCACTGAAGATAATAACAGTGATAATAATAGAAAAGTAAAAGATCCACATAATGATTCAGTCAAAGAAACAAAACTACCTGAAATCGATATAACAACAACACAGTCTTCGGTTACTATAGAGAGCGGTTCAAGATCAACGACTTTAAAAGAAATAGTGAGTAAATGGATGCGGGAACACGTCCATGATGTACCAGATCCGGTGTCTACTTCTGCTTCTAATGAACCAGATAAAAGCAAGATCAACGATGAACAAAGCTCCAATCAAAATGATACAAATACTTTTAAACACTTGGACTCGCGGTATCCAAAATTAGAGGTAAAATGTAGATTGTCGTTTGGAAACGGCATAATGCATGAACATCTAGAGATAAAAGAGCATAAATCTAGTGCTTAGTTAGCAAATCAAACTCGATTGCAAGCGGGCGAAAACTCCTTGATAAGCAATTGTACGATTACTTCAATTTCTTCTGAATTAATAAAAAAAAACAAATATTGTAGTCATTAATACATCTTCTATTTCTTGAACAGATACACTAAAAGTTGAAGTAAACATAATATTCTTAAATGAGCAAATTTAGCAAAAGTGTACAAAAAAATATTTTAAAACTGAAAAAGTAAGGCTCTAGAAGATGACTTCCATATCAACTTCAGATTACAATTGACAGAAATATATAGCTGTGTGTATTCCAGTTATTATTGTGCATATGCTTCACACCGGTATTTCATATTCATATTTCATTGATATTTCCGTAAAATATTTAAATATTTTGTCTTTCAAAGAGCTTTTTAACAATGCCATTTCAATCACCATCAAATCTAAGAATATTTTTCATTTCGTTGCTTAGGCTGCGCATAAAATGCATGCTTCATGATGACTCAAAGAAGATCAGATTTAATATGAAATACAAACAAAATCTTCTCTGATCGTCAACAATTGTAGATTATAATATATTACTAACAAAAAAGTTTGGAATTTAGTAGAAAATAATGAAAAGAACAACATTTCTTTACTATAATTCTTGTTGTAAATACTACATACATTTGCCTGTCTTCGTCTATTCACAAGATGGTAACACATTCGACATTTATGCTATATGAGGAAAAGTTATGATGAAACAATTTTATAAAAAAAAGTGGTGTACATAAATACATCTGAATATAAGAACGGAAAAGTATGCAGTAACTAAATAGATAATATATTCTGGTAATTTGAAGGTATCAAGAAGGGCGAATTCTTATGTCTGTAATAAACCGGATAAACAATCGTAAAACATTTCATTTAAGACCATACAATGATTGAAATTTGATGTTGTTGCAGTTGAAAAATATAGATATAAATGTTATAACTTTTATGCATTATCATATGTTCTGACATGAGTTTGTTGTGGTAAACCATATTTTCAAACACATAAATTTCTAAAGTTAAATGATTTATGAAATTAATTCAAGGTTAGTTATTCTTAAAACAAAATTATTTATATGTTTTAATCATACGCAATATTTATTAAATCTGGGAGAGTCATATTTCAACTGAGTGTTAATTTCACAAATAATCGGAGCATTTTAATGATATGATTTACATGTCCTCAATTTATGAAGTCCATTAATTGCTAATATTTAACACAAAGTTACTAACACATTTATTGTACCACCTAAAATGCATGTTTAGAACTAAAAAATACTTTGGTGGGGGAATTTTAGAATTGTTACTTGAATCTTTTGCAACCTGTTCCATCGGAACTATGTATACCTTTATAGATGTTCTGACTCTTTTTTTTATATTTCTTTAAATACTGTAAAAGGACATCGTCATAAAACATGATTTTCTATAGTGAAACAATATTGTGCAATTTCAAGAACAGGATATTATTATGGCGTCCGGCGTTAATGGCATTTACAGTTATTTACGAAATATCATTATTGGCATTAATTAATTTGTAATTCATAAAATTGCTTCTAATAAGAGCTTTATTCAGAAATTTGCTGTCATTTACAAAATACGAAGGGCTGAATAATCAAAACATCATTTGTGCATTTAATTGCTTATGTTTGACCATTTTGTACTGCAAATAGCTATTTATCGGTTTATTGTTATACTCGTAATGTTGACTTCTAATATTGGTTTGATATCATTCTTTGATTTTGTCACATCAAAATGGACAGTTCCAAATGAAAGCAGGGCCAGTTTCTTTGCATGGTAAATAAATGTTAGTGAAAATAAAACAGATAGTTAATGATTAGAGGTAGAAAGTTCTAACAGTTACAATATTCATTTTTACAACAGAATAACAAAACATGTCAGGTATTGCCCACTTGTCAAATACAGTGGTTTGAATATACATGTATTTTAACAATTATTCTTTTGTTTTTGATTTTCATGTCGAAATTTCATTGACAATAAATGAGCATAGAATATAACAGTTTTTAATTTACAGGCAAATGCTGTATATATCTTCTATTTCCTTTTACATTGGTGATACACGTATAACATTTTCATACGCTGTGACTGTTTAGTCTTAATTATGATTATTTTGGACGATTACACAACTGAATACCCTATACTAGAATCAGTTAAATTAGCGCCTCATCGACTATAGTTTTGACTGCTGTGCAATCGTCCAATATAATTCTGTATTGTACTCAACAATGTATGAAAACCTATTTAATTATATGGCAACTCATTTATGTATTTTGACCTATTGTACTAGTAATTTCATAGCAAACATTTTATAATTTTATTTAGAAATGAAATTCTTTGTTGGTGAATACTTTATTGTAACTTGAAAGATATGTTCAATGCGTTCAAAATACGATACGATTAGACAATATGCTTAATATGTGTAATTCTGTAACTGCGATAAAACTGAACTCAACCATCCATATTAGAAATAAACGTCAAGATAGGGTCTTATGTTTTAATGAATTTCATTTCACTGCTGCCTTTTCAATAAACTGATGTATATTTTCTTCTCGCAGGGTGGTAAGATACAGTACGATCCCCAGTGCGGAGTTGTTAAAGGTTGTTTTGTCGATTGTAGCGGAAATGACTGTAAATTTATGGTTACATGGCGGGATTTAGGCACGGCAGTGCAATTTGAGTTGTTTGGCAAACCAGATCGGTCGTTCAATGATGCATGGGTAGCTGTTGGATTTTCCAGTGACACACGAATGGTAAGATGTTTATTGTAAAATCAAAAGATACATATACATATATTAAGTAAATAGGGTATAAATATTGTTTTTTCTTACTATTTTTTAAATTTAGTTTATAAAGTAAACTTTGTAAGTTGGGTTAATACTCAAAAATATTAAAATACATTGTACATCCATAGCACTTTACATAAGCATATACCAGTTTGGAGGCTTCAGTTGAATAACCTTAAAGCTGCTGTAGATCGTTTGAAGAAAACGATGGAAATGCCTCGTTCGCAAAAAAAATGTTTATTGCGTGATAAGAATTTCCCGCAACCACCTGGAAACCTTAAATTAGAATAACTTGTGACAATTAAAATGTTCAGGAAGTTTATTATCACAATGATCAAAGAGAAAATAGGCGGCGACAAGTAAAAACATCACATTTAGTGAGTTGTTCAACAACACTGTGACTTTATTATCAAAGATTTACACATTTATTTGAATGTTGTGATGACTTAATTTCATTTGTCTGACTTTACATCTAAGTAGAAATGAAATAAAATGAACAGTCATGTGTGTTTTACCGTCAACTTTGTCAAAGTGACTGAAAAGAAAGAGTCGCATTTAATTATAATGCGCAGTAAATAACATTATTAGATATCCCCTTTTATTTGATTAAAATGGAAAGGATTGAAATGGATGGAAAGATTTTTGCAGATTACGTTTTATGAAATTTAAGCTGCAAAGAAAAGCTTCATTTTCAAAATTGAATGACATTATAAACAACTGGTATCAGCTATATGTAGTGAAGAAGACCAAAACAAAATAAGGCCTAGACAAAATATGACCGAGGCAATGTAAGCCCAAGACAAAAACACCGAGGCAAAATAAGACAGAGACAAAATAAAACCGAGGCAAAATAAGACAGAGACAAAATAAAACCGAGGCAAAATAAGACAGAGACAAAATAAAACCGAGGCAAAATAAGACAGAGACCAAATAAAACCGAGGCAAAATATAGAAATGATATAGAACTGATGTTACACCACTATCAACAATACCAGCATACAATACGTTAATATACAATTTACTTGGACTAGACACAGGATAATTGGTCATGAATTACGACTATACAACCATGTTACTAAATATGAGTTACAATTTTATGCTATTTAGGAAACATTGATACAAATTTTATTTAGTGACCGAAAAAAAAATAGATGTGATCACCCCTTCCGTTTCTTGATATATTATCATTCTGCGTTTGAATGTTATTTATAAAATCTATTTGTTCACTTGTTCATATTTCATATAATAAAATACACATTTCGTTTTCTGTGCTTAAATGAAATATGTTTTTTGTTTTTTTGTTTGTTTCACTTTTTGTTAAATGATATTTTGCTATCAATTCTGCTTAAATGTCAAGAAAAGACCGAGTGAAAGACAAGTAATTAAAACGTGTAGGCGTATTTTACAATAAGATGAATGGTACAAATGACATGATTGTCTGTATTGATCAACTTTGAAGATCATGTTTGTCATATATTAGATATCGTGTGTTGATTTTGTCTACAAATATGTAGGTAGTAATATCTGCAATATTTCAATACAATATTTTGACTTCCCATGGGTATATTTTTTAAGACTTCATCAGAAAAAAACCATCTGCATGATAAGATAGACGCGTCTTGTTACCAGTAGTTTCTTTTGTTTTTATCAAGATTAATGAAAATTATGGACATAAAATAGCTATTTCATTAAACTTATGTTCATTGACATCTTGACATTCCCTTTTATTTATTGTAAATTGATCAACATATTTAGATAAAAATGATTTTCTTCAGGGTGATGACAGTGTAACAGAATGTGTGTACAGCAATGGATTTATACAAGGGTTCAGTTCTTATAACACAGGTTATTCAAACCCGAGACGTCTGAATCCGGTAAGTGTTGTAGCTGACGAAATGCACAAGAATGTAGTCTCCATATTGTTATATTTATCTCCATAGACATTTATTCTAATAATTTGAGTTATAAAAATTAAATACTGTTTAAGCCGGTGCTACGGAGCGTAAGGGATATAGCATTTCCAATGCATTTCATGAACCGACTCAATCTCTGCAGTAGACAACAATTTCATATCATTTTTTTTCTCAGAAATTACGATATATCTTTTTCAGTTTAGTAATTCACAATTATCATATTTATGGTACAATATACTTTATTGGATTGATTTGTTGTTCGTCCAGCAATTTATGTACATATACTGTATTTATCTCAGAGAAAAGTAAGAAGATGTTACAAACAAATTATAAATTAAATCATTTTAAAATAGCATGGCGGGACATGCTACAATTTACTCTGTATGTGACAAATAGAATGGGACGTCAACATTAATTTTAACAATTTGTTTAGGCAGCAGTTTTATGGAGCCTTCTTTGTCGTAGCTATATAAAGTATTAAGGACGAAAGACATCGTCAAAGTACGAGTAAATTATGCCACTTTATAAGATGTACTGTCTCGTGGGGTTGTTTCATTCATGAAGTCTATCATGTATCATCATTATAATATTAAGGCTGTTTTATTTGTTTTAGAGAGTCTTATTTAATATCAAAGTTTTAATACCATAAATAATTAAACTTAAATGTGTTTTAATATTATTTATGGAATTTCATCCTAATTAGTAATTTCTATTTTCATTCATTTATAAGTAATAATGAAAATAATTCATACATCTAAAATAATTGTACTGTTCTTTTCCAGTTTTGATTCTTTACAGTCGTTTTTTATATTTTCAGCCGAAAGTTGGTCTTATAAATGTTGATGGTTATTATAACGATGGTGTCCTGTTTTGTTCATTTATACGACAGAAGAGTCTTCCTCAGATTCAAGGATTTTTTGACCTGGAACAAGATTGGCATATCATGTTTGCACACGGAAAAGTTTTACAAGTGCCAGGTATGAAAACTTCTAAAGTTTCGTTTTGTTATTTATATTATGATAGTTTATATGTGCTAGTTTCTTGTATGTGTAGATTTTATGTATTTCTTTAAATTGTGTCTCTAAGTTTTGTTTAAATAGACTAACACTTTGTCTTTAATGTTTTGAATAAACAATGCATGTTGATGATAGTATACCACACACATAAAAACAAACAAAACAAAACAACAATCATTTATTCTATTGAATTGTGCAAAACATATTGATGAAGCTGGTTGTAAAATTGAGTGTATGCAATCAAGTGCACACTTCAATTATAAATATTATCTATAGGTTTATTACTATTGTTATTGCAAATTTCATGACAGCATTCAATGCTGAGCGATCAATCAACGCAATTGTTTGAATAGGTTTATACATTTATATGCCTTCTAAAATACAATTGAATTGGCAAAACGAAATAGTTCTGTAGACAATCAAATTTTAATGACTGACTGAGCCACCTTGAAGAACGGTAGTTATTAAATGAAATATGTAAACCTTGTGCTGAGAATTTAAAACAATTTCAAATGTATATAGCAGTGAATCACATCTGCAATCAGTTTTTGTTAATTTGTTTGCAATAAAAGAGTTTGCAATATTTCAGTTATTCACGTTATTAGAATTAGTTAAGTCTACATTTTGTACAATTTAAGTAAAAATAACCTTCGCAATAGCTGGTAACAGCTTCTCTATATGAAAATAAAGTAATTACTCTAATGTGCTGCCACACATCAATCAGCGAATATGATATTTGTGAAATATTAAATGTCAAAATTTGTCATGTGGAGTTTCTTATTTACGTTGACACTCTGGTCCATGTATTATTTGTGTGGTTTGAAATAGAAAACAGTTTTCTTTATATACAAACGTGTAATGTACTATCGGCGTTAGGTCATTTTTTGAGTATGCATTTCATAAAAATACGTCGTACAAAAGCGAATGTTAAACGTCGCTGTCATATTTTTTTTTTATAAAACTTGTCCAAGAACCTTGATTTTGACTGCTTCTCGTGTGAGATCCATTATATAAATTCAAGCGAAAAAAAAATCAATACGCAAACGATATTGTTTTGGAGATGGCGAAAAACCTGAACAAAAAATCGAAACTTTCGTCGCAAATTATCTAAAACAAATAAACACTTAATAATATAACATTTATAACTGTACCAATAAAATAAAAGTTATAAACATATCTGCTGCTAACATTCCTACAAATATTTACACAGATACAGTTGACAATATGAAAGTTCCGTTTTTCTTTATTTGAATACTAAAAAATCAAATGTTCGTGTTTTTATTTATTCTTAATATTATCTCGAACGTACATAAAATTCTTAATAGCTCTAGCAGTGGTGAAAGAAATATTAAAGAAACGTTTTCACTGATTGTACCGGGTAAACTACATGTTGTATTGAAAACACCTACATTGTATTAAAATAACAGACCTTTTCAACAAAGAATTTTGTATACTGAACTTTCAAAGAAGGTAGTGTTGTAAGTAATATATCCTGGTAATTGAATCAATATCAAATCTTGCATCGATTAATTTATATACGAATAACAAATTGAACGATTTGTTCTTTTGATATCTTATACACATCTATAGTAAATTTTCTTGTATTTTAGCCTGGCAGTTATACATGCATTCCACGACAGATCTTCCTCCAGCATCAGCAGCTAGAATAGATTACCAGTCTGTCGTTGTTATAGGCAGTGCTGCTAAGTTTCCACTAGTCAAAGCACATGGTACTGTTTGTTTGATTTATTTTTACCAAAAAACTGTCATTTTCAGCTTCTTGTACTGTATTAAATGCCATTTTGATGTTTGTATAACTATTTGTTAATAAATGTCTGTAAATGATACAGAATAAATATTTATGCAGTTGACATTAACATATAACATATAAAATAATACTAAAGGTGAATTATATAGTATTCTCATGTATTTTACCTTACAGGCTGTCTGATGATCATTGGTTGGGTGTTGTTTACTGGCATTGGTCTAGTTGTAGCTAGGTATTATAAGAGTGTATGGGGAGACAAAACTTTCATGAAACTTAAAATTTGGTTCCAGGTAAGTTTGAGGCTAAGGTTCATCTCCTCTTAAAGCTAAATACAGATACGAAATGGTATGTAGTATAACCAGACATATATTGAGGCCAGGTCTTTTGGTTTATCAAGTTTTAGGTCTGGTCCTGGTGATTTTGGCATAATGTAACTCGGTTGCCAGTGCCAATTGCAGGTTTTACAGTGCATCTTAGTGAAAAATCGCTGTAAATTCAGCATTTTTCTTATCACTACATGTAGACATTGAATTTGTTGCTTAATTAATGTAATTGAAATTTAGGTGAGGGAAAGATTAAAACCCAGCATAATTACTCCTTTTGTAAAGCTAAGTTAACGTTAACCGAATATGATTCCTTAAACAAACCGTATTACTTACGCAGAAAATATAATTCAATTTATAAACTGTTGTTAACAATAGCTGTATTTGTTCGAGATAATTACTCATAAATACAGAAGTGATAAAGTGCATCATTTCTTTCAAATTTTTGTTTGTAAACTACATTGTCGTCATTACACGGAATATATATCTTATTTGGTGCAACATCTGTCATAAAACACGGATGTATGTAGCAAAGTTCAAGGCATTTTCCCTTAAATCAGGATGACGTGAAAGAAGGAGCGGAAATTGAAAGTGTGATTCAAGAGTGCAAAACATTCGTTTTATTTGTGATGTTTTGTTAAAACCTGGAAGCAATTTATCATTCTCTATAAGTATATGTGTATTCAATCTGTCTGTCTAACGGTGTTCATGTCTTGCTTAAAGGGTCATTATACCTCAGAAACGAATAAATATTAAATGCTTTTAAAAGGGCAACTTTGAACTTTATAATGTTTAAATGATGGTTTAAGAGCATGTTCGATGCTTGTTACATGAAGAAAGTACTGCTTAGTGTGAGATTAGTTATCATGAAAGTACAACATGTAAACAAAGTAGTATTTTGACTCGCGTCCTGTGAACCTTGCCTTTGCCTTGTTGATCTTTATTCTTGTTTTCTGTACAAAATACTAAATCACTATTAATGTAATACATGTAATTCCCAAAAAGCAACCAAAGAAAGATGGTTTAGGTATTTGTTTGTTTGTTTGTTTTGGGTTTTACGTCACATCGACACAGTATAGGTCATATCGCGACGTTCCAGCTTTACTGGTGGAGGAAGGCCTCAGGTGCACTTCTGTGCATTATTTAAGGCACGATCGGGCACCTGAGTAGAACCACCTACGTTCCGTAAGCTAGCTGGATAGCTTCCTCACATGAAAGAATCCAAAGTCCCTGTCGGGATTCGAACCCACAGCGGTGAGGGGCAAGTGCAAGGGGCAGGACGTGAAGTGGTTGCACACTTGGTTCAAGCGAGCGAATTGGTTGCAAACTTGACAAAATGGCAAACACTGCGTGATTTTTTGAAACGGGTGAACGAATTTTTGCCAGGCAAGTGGGTTTCTTTGTTATTTTAAAGTTCATTAGTATGTCTATTCCATTATGCAATATATATACCACACTCGGTTTAAGGTTTCAGCATCCTAGATTCTGTTTTGACGAAGTTATTGAAGATATAAACTGATCATGTAGATATTTTGAAATTTGACATGTGACTGTTCTCGTCGGTTTTTCTCCTAATTCATTCGAATTTGTAAGTTTTGAACTGCATTTAACAATAACAAAATATGTTTCTGTCAATGCAGTACAAATGGTTTAGTTCGCAAGTCCGAAGATAACGTTCAATACACAAAAATATCTTGTTCAAGCACATTTTGGTTGCAGACTTATACTTTGAACAAGCATTTTTGGTTGCAAACTTATTCTTATTATATTGAAATCCATAGAAAAACTTTGCAAAAGGATTGTACATAGTAGTTTATATTTATTGACCTATGGCAATTATTGACATTTATGTTCTTTTACTTGTTTTTGTTATAAATGTTATTTATACTTTTTTCTTTTACAACAAGTATGCACTTTATGTTTCAAATTACATGGTTCTCAGTTCAATACTATAATCATCAGTAAAAGCCTGTAAAAAACAAAATAATAGCACATAGAAGAAAAATATTTATTGATACTTCAATTCTAAAATATGTCATCACATGTAAAATGCAAATGAAAACTACATACAAAAAACGTATGTGAGAGTACTGCTGTATGTAAGTGAATTATTTTCATTATAAACATAAGGACATGTGCTCACATACGATGTTACTCGGCAAAATTTCCAAAGTTTATCAAAACCACAATAAATGTTATTTTGTTTGTTTCGTATGTAAAGATCAGCAGTTGCTTTAGACATAAAGTATGTAAATGTACTTATAAACCAAAAGTTAAAATGACATGCTTGTTTACAATATTTCAGATTTGATGTACATATCATAATTATATGTCAATTGGTATTCTAAAAATTATTTTGGCTATTAGATCATAATACAACTGATATACGATTGGTAATTTACATTGACTGATATGTGACAAAACTACTTAAAGTCATTGTTCGAGTTAGGGAATTTGGAAGATGTTTCGATTGGTCAATAATAAGGAACAATTTAAAGACACATGTGAATAATGCCCTTGTGTCAATGTTAATATAGTTTGTATCTACTATACAATCAAATTTATTTCAAATCACAAAAAAGAACAATAATGAAAGCTGTTTGTTGCTATTTTTCTCTTCTTTTCCTTTATAGTTAGTCATGCCAAGATATAAAAAAGTCCTAAGACTTTGTAAAAAGAAAAGAAGTATATCGAGGAGAAAAATGATGAAGATAAACACAACTGAACTTCAATTTAGCATATTGTGTTTTCTATGTACTGTATAGGTTTATAGAGTGCATATTGGGTGTTTTTCGTAAATAAGAAAGCTAAAAAGGAGCGGAGCTTGCGAAGCGACTGTAGCTTTCTTATTTACGAAGAACATCCAATATGCACTCTAACCAGCTTAGTGCTCCGCCCATTTTATTCCGCCCAACACACTGCGTGACGTCACACGATAGCCTAGAAATGTGTATAACCATATTTGGAAGAGGTAGCGGTACACATTTACGGGTCACGTGTTTTGCATAGCTTATTCCCGCATTCTGTCAAGGTAAATCAGACAATATCACGGTGCATATCCATATCGGTACCCTCTTTGCAAAATATTCTCAAACGGTACCCTCTTTGAACATACACAGGTCATTCTCTGCTAAAAACAAACCAGCGATGGATAACAATGCAGTAAAAATTCATTGTAATAAGGAAAGGAGGTATGACACGTAGAAAAGATGTATACCATGGAACACTAGAATGTTTCATTTATGTGCTGATTTGTCATGTGCCTGCAACTTCACAATAAGCTACAGAAAGTCGACATGTCTTGCCTCGCCCGTCACCTCGACATATTTTTCGGGCTGAAATGAACCTGTAGCTTGATTATATATGCATCATACATATTTATTATGTTCATATACATATCATCTTCGGACAAATGGCAGTAATATTGTCAAAAATAAATGTAAAATTAATTAAAACACCCTACTTTCGGTTTTGCAGCAGCACGGGCTGTAATATTTACATAAAAAGTAAGAAATATTACATACATAATTCTATGCCGTAGTGACGATATACATGTGCGTGTACGGAAAAAACATGATGCATAAATATTGATTAGTAGGAGTAAACTTCAAGATCTCTGCACATGCGTATATTTCACTTTAGCGCTCTTCGAAACTTAGCTCCGCCCAATTGCGTTTTATAATATAAAACGTCCAGTTTATATAAAATCTGTTCTATTAAGATTTGAAACCTGAAAATTTGAAAAATCCTCGTCGGCTTAAAAAAATAATTATTTTGAAAAAAGATAAGTTATTTCTCGCTAAAAATATGCATGCCACATTATTGACACAAAAGTTTGCAACCAAAAATGCTTGAAGTATAAGTCTGCAACCAAAGTGTGCTTGAACAATATATTTTTGTGTATTGAATGTTATCTTCGGACTTGCGAACTAAACCATTTGTACAGCATTGACAGAAACATATTTTGTTATTGTTAAATGCAGTTCAAAACTTACAAATTTGAATAAATTAGGAGAAAAACCGACCAGAACAGTCACATGTCAAATTTCAAAATATCTACATGATCAGTTTATATCTTCAATAACTTCGTCAAAACAGAATCTAGGATGCTGAAACCTATAACCGAGTGTGGCATATAGATTGCATTATGGAATAGACATACTAATGAACTTCAAAATAACAAAGAAACCTACTTGCCTGGCAAAAATTTGTTCACCCGTTTCAAAAAATCACGCCGTGTTTGCCATTTTGTCAAGTTTGCAACCAATTCGCTCGCTTGAACCAAGTGTGCAACCACTTCACGTCCTGCCCCTTGAAGTGGTTTGAAGTCAACGACCTTAACCACTCGGCCAAGGACGCCCCTAGGTATTTGTAAGTCAGTAACTTTTTGAAAGCTATAAAGTACACGACAAAAAAGCTTTTGAGAAATAGAAAAAAGTCTAGGGCTTAATTGGCCTTTTACATATGAATGTTGAAATTAAAGTATAATGTTCGTCTTAATGAAGGAGGTATACTCACTCTGTGATTCATAACATTGATGAATTTACTGCCCCACTCATCATTTCGGTCGCTATCCTATACTTTTCGTTCGACCTTTTAGTTGTATATATTGTTTAAAGGTCTTGAAGGAATACATCATGTAAGGTATCATATACCCCATACTTGGTCGCGTACACATATACCTATATTGGGCTGGTACAACTGCCATTAAATTATTTTTATGGATAAGATCAAGTAATATATAGCAGGAACAAATGCTTCCATTGTACATTAATTCACGTATATTTCTTATTTCTAATGAAGGTTTCAGTTGCTGTATATATAAACATATTATATTTATTTTACATTTCAGGTTCATAGGGCGTGTATGGTAACGGCTGTGGGTTTAAACATCATTGCTTTTATTCTTATATTTATAGAAGTTAAAGGATACAGTGACGTAAGTACAGCTTAACCAACAATATAATTATTCTGTACATTGTTACAAAAACCGCCATCCTATAGATAAAGTACTTGCAAGGATCAAATATATTATTACTTAAAACATAGACGTCTAGGTCACAACCTGTACCACTGGACTACTACTACAAGGTCGGTTTCTTCCCCAACGTAGATCACAAAAGTAATGTGATTGGGCTCTGTATAATATCTATAACCAACATTTCTAGACTGCAAACATTAACATTGTAAAAATCATGGTTCTGTTATCTCAATTACCATATATACTGTTCTTACAAAAACTTGTTTTTTATTAATGTTTTACTATTATTCTCATATCACGATAATTGTTTTCAGATACCAGATATACCTGGTAAAGGATATTTAAGGTCTCATCCGGTACTTGGAATCATTGTAACAGTTTTATGTGTAGCAAATGTGAGTATTTCTTACATGTTTTATATTAAAACAATTTTGTATATCTCAAATGATGGATTGCCTTTTATACTGTTAGCTCACACTACACGCATGTTATACAAATGTTTTCTGTCAGTGTTACATATTTTATTTGAGAAATTTATTAGGTCTACTACATCCAGATTTTCATTTCATGTGTTATTATGGTTATGAAAGCATGCTCAAGACAACACAAAATCAAGATTAAAATATAAAATTATGAGATTTTTCTTTCGGTAAAAACATCATTACAATACTAATATATGGCAAATCTTCTAACATTATGAAAAACAAATAATAGTAATGCGTATTATACATGTACATACATATGTCATAAAAATAGGTCTACAATTTAATCTTATCGTTTGCAGCCTGTTATGGCGTTATTCCGGCCAGGGCCTGATTCTAATAAAAGGCCCATATTTAACTGGGCTCATTGGGGCGTTGGTATGACAGCTTATATTTTATCCGGTAAGAGTCATTTTTATGCCAATAAATCCATGTCTTATTAGATTGTTATTTGTCATTTCCGATCACTAACTGTTCTTGTAATCGACAACTTTCATAATTATATTGATTACGAAAATTATTGTTACAGAAGTTGATATTCGTATAATTATTTCATTGAGTTCTTTCGTGAAACTTCTAATCATTTGCTCATTATTGTAGATCAGAAATTTTTCCAGATAATTTTAAATTTAGCTTGTACTCGTGATGAAACTATCCAGCTTACGAAACATTGCATTTCTGCTCACGTGTCCCCTCGACACTCGTGTATATTAGGTGTACGCGGGAAAATCATCATATGAATTTTCAATATGACTTAAATCCAACAAAACAAAAAAAAAGACTTTGATACCCATTGGTTGGCTTTCCAATGGTCACGAGTTGATATCCTATATTATAATGAAAGTGTTATTTTCTATTCCAGCAATATGTATCTGTTTTGGCTTCCAGTTAGGGAAATCCTCAACGCCTGATTATGCCATATACATTATGATAGTATATGTTTTATATATTATCATATTTGACGTCGTCTTTGAGGTCATGGAACTCCTTAATAAAAAAGAAAAGAAAGGTAAAAAATGTAGCATCACGTGTTATATATTTGAGAACATGTTATAACATACAAAACGTCAGTATAAATGCATAGTAATTAGCAACTACTCATATTATATATTTTCGGATAACTCATTTATGTCCTCCAAGTCTTTATCTATATTTGGAATTGACCTGAATCTCAATTGACAACAAAACCTGAGAAGTTGCAAAAGGTAATTGTTTTAAAAAAATTCTATAACAGTTTTAGGCACATTTTCTTTAAAAAGTATATAAAAAATGTAATGTTTTAAGACACAAACACTTTATGTAATAGGAGTCATTAAGATGGTATTGCGCAGATTAAAAAATATTTGTAACTAGAAATATATATTAACTGTATATGAAGCTCAGTTTCAATTAAGACACAGCCTGTTATAATATACCGACGTATTTCAGGACCACTTATGTCGATATATCAAATTGTATGTTCAACGTCCAGTACTAAATACCACGTCTCACGTGAAAATGGTAAATAACGTCACTTCTGAGTGACTGCCTGGCTTGCAAAGAGTACAGAACTTTAGTTACTTGTCAAGAAGTCTTTGAAGTATGGACTTAGAATCTAGTTGCTTTATCGGCTTTCCAGGAATAAAACTAGCATTGTCATTGTTTGTTTATATTGTTTATGTCATGAAATGCTTTAATGTGACATTATGCTCATATTTTCATAGTCAAGTTGAGCTAAATTGACTTTATATTTCAAAAGATTGACTGTCAAAATGGTGTTTGACCAACATTGATATTGGAAAATGTTTATGATAAGGTTATAAATCTGCCTAAATTTAAAAAGACTGCCCACTTTTATAAACTAAGCGTTATAGGTAAAATTCTAATGAGTATTTACAGAAATTTCTTTTAGTTCTGTGCGTTATTTTTTGTTTATGTGAACTTAATTATTAAATTAAAAGGAATAATGGCAAAATGAAAACTTATTTTGACCTTCACCCGTTCACTCACGGGCATAATGTCACTTTAATAATATGCCTTACTTTTCACCGATCAAAGACTAGATCTCTAAATTAGCAGGTATCTTGAACTATGCGATATAATAAGATATTGAACTGAAAATTAATATATGTTAACTTAAATATTTATTAGAATTGGGTGACAATCTTTATATTGCAAGTAAACATGTTCTAGTATTTCACCACAATATTTGTTATTCGCACATATTTGTCAAAGATTATTTCGCATATTTCTTGATTGGATACTTGTATAATCAAAATGTATCACATAAAAAACTTGATTTTTAAACTATATAAAAATGATGTGGTGTACTTCTGCTGTACAGGACTGTCCGACTGTAAACCCTTTCTAGATCAGTCCTCTATCGAGCTAAACAAGAAAACTTATCTATATTATAATACACTGTTATTTAATTTTGTCTAGATGACAAGAGCTCATTGCTGGCTGTTTATGTCCTAGTTTGCATTTAACTAAAAAATAGATTTATCCCTGCATCACAATGCTTAAGCTTCTTTATCATACATTTTCGCGAAGCTTCACTGCCTTGATTTTAAGAACTATTGGTATTGTTATCAATAAAATGCAACCTGCTTGATTAATTGTTTATAATGTCAGAACATTACATTATTTATATGTATGTTAAATATTATTGTAAGATATGTAGAAAAAACACTTATTTTCATGATTAACATGTCTGCTCAAAAAGGTATTGTAAAGGCGCTGTTTTGAGAATGATTCATTAACAGTATTTGATTACTTAATGCCCCGAAAGGGGGAGATAGTTTTTGAATTATCTGTCCGTCTGTCCACGTTGTCTAGGCTTTGATTTTGTTATTCATAAAATAGATTTTGAAATGAGCGTGCATTAATTATGTAACACGTTAAAACGATAGATCGCATACCTCAAGACTCAGTTTTTAGGCCAACGGTCAAGGTCAGATTTAGACTTGGCAGGAGTTTTTCGTATAAGTGCATTGGTGATCAATTTTATCATTCTGCGGTGGATTTTAAAATAGTTATACAATAATGTGTTGGATATGACGACAACATGTCGTGGGCAAGAATAAGTTCTCAAGCTTAAAATATCAAGTTTACATATGTGTACGTCCAAAGACCTGATATGAATGGGGATTTCACAAAAGTGCAATCTTCAAGGTTGTTATTAAGCAACTGGGCATACATGGTTAGAACATAAGGACAATGTATCGCGTAAAAGAATAAGGTCTCCATCTCAAAAGGTCAATGTCACATTTGTACGTCCAAATTCATTATTATGACTGTAAATAGTTAGTTGTGTCCCATCTATGACTTTGTCATTAATCAATGAATTTTGAAATAATCATGAATAAATGCTTTAAACTCAAAGGTCAAGTTCAAACGTAATTTGAAAGGAAAGGTTTTAAAGTGCATTGATGTTCGGTGTTCGGTCATCAATCCTGTCATTCATGGTGCATTTGAAATTATTAAACATAAGTAATTTTTGTGACATTAAGAAGGTTAAACAAAATCGACAGCCAGTAATATGAAGGTCAAATTAATACAATGATTGTTGTGTCTGGTCATGTCTTTGTCATTCATTTGCCGAGTTCCGTATAATATGTATATAAGGAAGTGTTACTGATTCTTTATTCTAGTAATTATGTCTTTGCTATGAATAAACATTATGGCCCATTTACTGGCACCAGCTTCGGAGGCATTTGTCTGTTCTTCATTTTCCTTAGAAAACAAATAACATTTCAACCTTACATAAATGTACTGTACGGAGAAAGATTTTAAAATAACAGAAAACAGAATTTTGTGTACTTCAGTACGTTTGAAAATCGTGTCATTTATATCACATGCATGCACGGCAACAAATTATGGAATTATGCAAAATTGCAAATTCGTTTCAAAGATTTTTGACCATTTGTGTGACTGTTAATTATAAAAATACCACATACCGCTGATTGTGAACATTCATTTCTGTTACTCTGGCGTGCATATAACAAAACTGCTTTAGCTATATTGCACTGGTGTTTTACAGTTTATACGACACTCATCATTATAGTTGTCATGATATACAATGGTTGTACTTCAATTTTTTTCTAAATGTCCAAATGTACTTTTCTAACCATATGACAATGTTGTTTCTTTTTATCATAGTGAAAGTTGAAGGAATGGAGATGAGCAACAGGAATGGAACTGAAAACGGCACAATACCTAATGGAAATCACGTGACCAAGGATAAAATTAGAAAGGTATATATTTTATAACTTGTAATAAACGATCCAAAATCAAAGCTCTACAAAATAGTATGACGAAGCTAGTTTAATGTGCAACTAGTATTTAATATTTATCCTGATCATGTGTTTTTGTTGTGTTATGAGTAAGTAGTTAAATGTATAATTAACTCTTCCAATGTCGTCTGTACATAGGCTTATAAATTTCATTATTACTATAAAGATAAACGTTTACAACTTTACCGTTAAAGATATTTTGTTTTCTTTGTTGTTGTTTTCATACTAAATAATTGGATAAAAGTATATACAATAACGTTTTCATGACAAATATCCACTGTTATTCAACAAAATCTTAAGGTCCTAAAATCACAAGTAATCTTATGTTAAACTTATCTCTTTTTTTATTTTCAGAGTGATAAAATAAAGACAATGCTTTTAGCACTTCACATTGCATTTACTGGAGCATTTGCACTTGTGTTAGTGTTGGTGGTAGCCTTGAATTGAGGTAGAGATTATTGCATTTCAAAACATGCTAAAAACGAAAAGCAGTTGTGCTATTTGCTATATCCAATCATATCAAAGCAGCGATCAGTAAACCGGCAAATGAAACATATAATTAATAAATCTAAATTCCAAAGTCCGTAGAAGTGTAATAATATGAATCTGAATAAACGTGTATATAGCATGCAGGAATGGTTTCCAGATATCTTTGATATCGTTACATCTACCACCCATTTCTCAGTGTTTCAACGGAATAAACGTGTAGGACTGTTTAATTCGCGGACGGCACTAAAAGGCATGCGCAGGAGTACATGTGCGGAACGAGTTGATTTTTCTCATTATATTAATGCAATTTAAAAAAAAAAAGAATCAGCAGCAAGTTGTCATACACTGGCAACTTGCGGACACAAATTAAAGCTGATATTCCTGGATAAAATATGGTGTAAATTTTACAGTGCTGATTTATTCGGCCATTTGTTCAACTTGAAGTGAACAAACTATGGGAATCAATGTCGAATGTTATACTGTATTTTGATTGATATATAGATACGTATGATAATCAAAGTTGTCTTGTATGTACATGTGTTTGTCTGATTGTATATTTAAATGTCTAAAGAAAATTAGAGAAGTATTGCTGCCTAAATATTATCTTATAGTTCTTTTTTGTATGTACAACATCATTTTTATTCCATTTGTTTATTGAAAGAATCCCAATAAATAGTTAGAAAAGTTCGAGTGAGACTGCTTACACCTAATAAGTAAATGGCACTTATTGACTTAAGGAAAACTTGTTATATGTTGGGTTTTTTTTTACATTTGCATACGATTTACTTGCTTCATTCTGTATAATTCTTCATTCTGTTTAACCCTAAATAGCCATGTCGATTGCTATTTTTTCTTCTTCTTTAATCTTTTCTTTACATGTATTTTTGTCCGATAAGTGTCAGTCGTTACATAATTGTTCATACAAATGCGCGGAAACTTAAGCTATAAACATATTACAAAAAACAACCACATTCAACTCTTAAAACATCTTATTTAAATCAGTGATTCTACAAGACTATTCCTAAATACAAAGTTCATATGTACGGGTAAGAAGTACCATTCTATTAAAATAGCGTCATTTCTTACTTCTTCTCATTTTGATTAATCAACAATCAGTATAATTATCATATACATTATTGTAAAAACATATAATTAAACGTTTTTTACATTTTGAAAATATTGTTTAAAAATGGATTTTTTTTATGAAAATAAGTAAATTACAAAATTATAATCAATATATGCGTTTGATTTTTTTTAGTTTTTAGTCAATCTTTAAAATTAATCGGGAAAAATGCAAAGGTGTTTCTATTTCAAATCGCATAAGTATACCAGAAAACTGTGTCTGAAATAAGTTTTTGATTTGTCACTATATTCATTTGTACTTGATATCTTTAATAATATATACGGTAAAAATTTGCTGGCATTATACATGTATAATGTACATCCTAACTTTAGCATAATAGTTACGGTAGTAAATTTTCATGACTTTATTCTTAATTTTCTGTCTATAGAAAAACCTGATTAGCAAAACGTAAATAGTATACGTAAAAAATCATTTCTAAATTTAGAACTAAATGAAACTACATGTCTTGCAATAAAATGTATGTATTATGAGTTCTTTGAATGCACTTTATTTATTCTTTATAATAAAATAAAGTTCATTATTTTGATTTAATGCATGTTTTAAAATGTTGTTGATTAATATCTTGTAAATACCATTATGAAAATACAAAATCTCTATTATATAAAACTTTAGTTTTCAATTTCTCCTCAAAACCCCCTCAAAAAAACAATTTTTTTTAACCAGTGAACCCTAGTTAACGGATTTCATCCGCGTATGAATATTTCAAAGTGGGGATATTTTCTATTTTACTTTTATCGGAGCACGATGGCTTCTACACGCTAAATATGCCGAAAAGTTGCTAATGCTCAAGGTTATCTAAACTCTAAATGCTTCGCTGTTTTCCATTTTGTTTGGTTTCATGATAAAATATTGCATCAACTTCACGTGAACGTGCTTTGAATTTAGAAATACTTTATCGTTATAGCAGGTAGTTTAAAGTAGAAATGCTAAAACTGACCTAACAATAATCTATGGGCAGCCCTTGTCACCACTGGAACAGTTTTTGTATTTAGATCGAAAAGTGCTCTTTCCAAATCCACATAGCATCAATTTACTTGCAGATAGTTCACGAGTACAACGTGTCCGTCATCAATTAATACAACGTGTCCGACATTAATTAATACAACGTGTCCGACATTAATTAAACAGCTGAATTTGAAAGTAAAGCCCGTTTTACTATGGTACGTTCACATTGACCCGTGCACTGTGGTGCTAGTTTTCGTCCTACTCATGATTTGGTCGTTTACGGACACGTTGAAACCTTCAGATAGTTAGGTCTACTCCTAATTAACAGTATCGAGTACTCGCCGCCTAGGATTTCTAGACGGCCTTACGAAAGGCGCCGTTCGCCTTCACGACGAGATTTTAGCATATACATGAACAACCTACATATTGCATCCAAATATATTGTAGTACCAAAGGTGCAAATTCGTTCCAGTGTGCCAGGATTGAGGAAAGATCAGCATGTTAATAAAACGTACACATTTACAAGTAACTATTTTCATCCACATCGACCTGATATTTCGTTTTATTTAGACAATCCAAGGTATCGAACTGGAAACCTGAAACTCAGCGTCCAAAGTAAACGCCCTTTCTACTACTTATTGACAGAAAATAGACGAATGCGCTCGCCACAAACGATTTTATAGGCCGCCTTTCGTAATGTGTTTGGCGTACACCTCGACGCTCATTTTGCTTCTACAAGCTACTTATTGCACCAGGATTAGTGGTACAATAGGTGCCGATTTGTCCATCAATTCATGATGAAGTTAGTGTTGTATAGCTCAATTTTAACCGTTTGTATGCTTTCAAATTGTCATTTAGTGAAATCATAGCATTGCTTTACGGAAAAAGACAATTGTCCACGGACATAAGCCCCATTTTTGTCATGGCGGAATAAAAACAGAAAGTTGATTATTTCAGTGAGAGAATTTTTATTTTGAGATTTAAAATTTACAGTATATTATATGGACGGACAAAGATAATGTTTGATATGTCAAAGTAACAAATTAGTCATTTTAAACATTTCAGTTTTCTTCCGAATTGCCAATATATCTTTATGTATGATATAAAAACAATGAATGTCAACATTTAGTTTCTGAAGTAAAATCGCTCTTGCTTTTAAATTTTATATAAATCCTTCCACACACAGTAAAAGCACAGACAGTTTTTTTTCTTCAGTAAAGATAAATACTTAGTAATCCATAAAAACGTTAACATTTCATAAGCTTTCAATTGTGCTCAGTAATAGTGAGCTTATTTTTTCCTTAAAAAAACTAATTTTGCTTTTCCACCTTAAATGTATTTGTAAAGAAAATACAATTTCATGAAACATAACTATTAAAAGCTTAATTTACTCGAGTACATTGAAATAATTCATACAAGCACTAACAAAAATGTGAAAATGATATGGACATATAATAATGAAACAGAATATTTACATATAAATAAATAAAACCATGTAACAATCAAATGCAATCTCTCAGATCTTAGATGCAGAAAAATCATATCAAATTGTGACATACAACAACAAATCTAGTATTTTAATTACAAAATTGACAAAGATTACAAAGTTGACTATTTTCTTCAGTAATTACTAATTAACACCCCTGGTATCAATTCATCGTAACTGACATGTGGATTCTCCTTATCATAACATAAGAATACTCATTTTACTTAACATCTATATACCATTTGTATAGTTTTTGTTTCTTAAAAAACTATTAACACAATAATCAACAATTACTTGTTTCACTTTGAATATACGGATGTAAAATAAGACAGTCCAAATTCTCATCTTATACACAGTTCTCAATAAGAAACGGACAGCTCTTTCAGCTGTAGATATAACGTAAATATTTAAAGCGACAGCATTACAAACGACTGGCCATCTTAATTGATGAATTAAAACCTAAGGTGCCCCCTTTTTAAAAAGAAAAAAATCAGGCACTTATATGCTAGCATGATAGCTTTATCAAACATGATGGAATTGATGATTCAAGCATACAGTAGTGAAGGGCAATCTATATATTCAATATCAAAAGACCCCAAGTGATTTAATACGACGCCTCAATAAAGATCGCCTCAACAAAAATCACGTATGACAAAAATCTCTTCACAACCTAATGAGATGTAACGAAAACCGTTTAGTTCTACATTTAGTTATAGAACAAGATAACTAAAATTTTACCAGACAAAAAAAAAAGAGAAAAACTCCAAAACATGTGGCTGAATCTTAACGAAATATTCAATAGTAAATGAGCCATTTTCCTGAAGTCATATCAAATCATATATTAGCGGTAAATTGGAGTGTTAGCCCAGAAACTGTTAAAAATCTCACAGCTGACAGCTGGAGTGTATGCTGATCAATGGAAAGTTTTATCACAGTTTATAAATGTCCCGACACACTCTAGAACACATTGTCCAATCACTACATAGCCATCATATCTGTTCCTCCCCCACCTCCAAACTGATTTGTATCATAATCTGAATCCTGTATAACAATAATATGATAAAATATGTAATAAACAAACTTCATTTATAATATCATAAATGTAGCAAAGATAGGCAAGATGTGCCTGTTTTGAATCATATATCTTAATTACAACATAGTTTAAAAAACCCCAACAAAATAACATTTAAATAATATGCTAACAATCAAGAAAATGCCAATAGTAAATAAATCCTATACTTTTCTTGTTGTATTTGATTTGTACATCACACAAACACTGTTACAGTCATATGGCAACTTTCCAGCTTTACTGTTGGAGGGATTCTTCATTCAGCCTCTGTGAATTATTTCAGGCATTAAAGGGCACCTGAGTAGAACCACCCACGTTCAATAAACTAGTTTGATAGCTTCCACATATGAAAGGATTAAAACCCACAATGGTGAGGGGCAAGTGGTTTAAAGTCAACAACCTTAACCTTCAGCCACAGATGTGCTTAGATAAAATGAGATTCAACCATTTATTTTAATGAACAACAATTCTTTTTAAAATAATGGAAACTGCATTTCTTCTTTTTTTAAAATAGGATGAGAAATGCTCTTCTCCATTGCCCTATGTTAGCATTTTGAAGTTATTTTCTTTTAATGAAACATTTAATATCAAATTATAACATATTTACCTGATTGAGTTTCTTGAACTCTACCACTTGTGTAAAGATATATTCAATGATATGTTTAGCATCTCTACTCTCTGGTGCTAGATTCTGCATCACACCAAGAATATCTCCACATTCCCGTACATAGTACTCCAGATCATCATCCGTACCTGTAATTATATCATTCTCTCTTCACATATTGTATCTTTAACATATGTAATCTTATATACAAGACAAGTGTCTGTGTATTAAACCACCTGTAACACAGATTGAAACTTGTATAATATGTCTTTGCATTTTAGATAGAAACAAATTAATTTGGTCATAAACAATCCTTTCAATTTTTTTTAAGAAACCAGCCTGTAATTCGAAACTTCAGTATCTTTTATTTTGTTAAGTGGGACAACTCGAGCTTCAGTCAAATCATCCAGTAAAGTATTTTGTTTATAAATTAATAATGTGTCTTAATGGAAATGTAAAAAAACTGCACATATCTCTTACAACTTTCTAAATCAGCAGATTTATTTGTACTTTTCAAATACTCTAAAGGCATCAATGAAAAGAATATTTTTAGGTAAAAACCCTTAAGATAACAAGCAATTATCATAGTATTGCAAGCAATGCATAAGTCCCCTGCCGGTTAGAACCCCAGCAACATTCTGAAGGGCCATTGGCCATTCACTTATGTCTTTATTTTAAGTAAATTTGTTGAAAAAATTCTTTAAAAGTGATCACAGGTAACAGTTTTTATGTACAAACAGACAGATGGACTGTTTGAAGAAAATACCTTAAGAAATAAAGAACTTATAGTGAAAAAACGTAAAAACTAGAATCAGAAATCTTGAAATTCAGTCTATTTGTTGACATAGCAACCAGAATTTTCAATATAGGAAGACAAGAAAAGAATGTGCATAATCTCCAGACTGCCATCTACCCATATTTCAAGTTTCATAAAAATATTTTCAGTACTTTTTGAGTTATCACTGGATCCAGGTTATGTGTAAAATTTGCCATATTTTCAGTCTATTTGTTGCCATAGCAACCAGAATTTTCAACATAGGAAGAAAAGAAAAGGATGTGCATAATTTCCATACTACCATCTATCCATATTTCAAGTTTCATAAAAATATTTTCAGTACTTTTTGCGTTATCACTGGATCCAGGTTATGTGTAAAATTTGCCATATTTTCAGTCTATTTGTTGCCATAGCAACCAGAATTTTCAACATAGGAAGAAAAGAAAAAGACGTGCATAATCTCCATACTGCCATCTATCCATATATCAAGTTTCATAAAAATATTTTCAGTACTTTTTCCGTTATCGCGGGATCCAGTTTTGTGGACGGACGGACAGACGGAGGGTAAACCTAAAGTCCCCTCCGGTAAACCGGTAGGGGACTAAAAATACATAATGCTAGGGGTAGCTTTGCAGTAAAATTTGATACAGTAGGTGAGTAATAACTATCAAATTTTTCAGCTTTTTGGCAACAAGTTTCATCACCTATTTTTAAACAAATATTACAACAAATAAATGAATTAGTCTTTTCAGGCAATAAAAGTTTTTTAAGGAATTTCCGTAAGGTTTTAGAATCAAGATTTTCAAAGGAGTTACTTGAATAAGTTTAGGATCATTTATGTTGTATTAAAGAAAGGTATGGTTACCAAACATTGAATTGTTAACTTACATTTATTTGTTTGTTGTGCCAGTCTGACTTTCTCAGATGAGAACTGTTCATCTAAATCAAACAAATCTAGAGAAGGTGCTGGTAGCTCTCTGAACTGTGGTGGAAACACCTGTAAATAAAAGAAGAAAAATACCCCTTAATTTCTGAACATATTTATACATAAAACATGCTTAAAATTATGATTTTACAACAAAGTTTTTGTAAATAAAATCCATAAAATCAAGTTATTAGCATGTAAGATATATTTCTCGAAATACAGTAAAATTTAAAGAATAACAAATTACTTACAGCTGGTTGTAGAGGTGGTAAAGGGGTTTCAAACTGTGGAGTGATCAGTGTGAGAGGCTCATGCTTCGTATTTGTCTGTTCAAATGCTCTAAAATAAAACAATATAAACTTTAGACTTATATCTTGTAACATTACAATATAAATAATCAAAAACCTATATCAAGATTATTGCTTCATTGATATCAATAATGACAACAATACAGTGTTAAATTATCATTTTATTTCAATGTTTTTATGTAATACAGATTAAGTTTAAGTTCAATGATTTGTGATTTTATCAATATTAGACAGTGTAAGACGAAAGTTTCAACAGGAGTTTATAAGTTGTCTCCCTTCCATTGTGAAGTAATGCTTATTTCATCATTGAACCTTATCAGTGTTTTGACATAAATTACATACAGATTTAAAATGCACTAATATCATAAATTGTTGGGGGAAATGAACACTGATAAAATATAAAGGAACTAAATGCTGTAAAAAAACACCTGACTTTTTCAGCTTGTAATTATAGTCATACATTAAATGTATGAAAATAACAAAAATAAAAATAGTAACATGCTTGTATGGTATTTATATAATTTTAATACCTATATAAATTTAATACCAATACATGAAATTGAAAGTTTTATTTTTTTGTATACTATGCATATGTATAATTAAGGATAAGACGTCACTAGAATGCACAGTAAACTTACTTGATAGACTTTGGAACTAAACTGGTGTCCAGTTTAAAGAGAGAGTTGTCAAATAATGTGGTAATATCTCGTGGAATATCATCACTCTCTTGTAAACATGTCTTCAGATTAGCTGATATCTTTGATATGTCTGGTAACGTATTATAATCAGATATCTGAAAACATATCAAAAACAAGCCTTGTACATAAAATGTCTTTAATTATAACTCAGAGATGCACTGTTCTTGTATATTACCTAGATTTAAAACAAAAAATAAAAATTTCTAGTCTGCAATAAAAAAACACAGTTAATGCACAAATTATTATAAAACACTTTATCATTACCGGTATTTGCATTTCTTATCACATTTTGCTATTCTGGTTTCTTGTGGTCTCCCCCCCCCCCCCCCAAAAAATACAAACAATGTACATGTTTATATACAAACAATCATTAAACAAATGCACCCATTAATTTGAACACAGTCCATTCAGCCTTAGGGAATAGCAATGACATTGAATTATAGATTTTTAAATTCTTAGTAAAGACCCACTCTTGCAGGAACAGTCCTGTAATAAAGCAAAATCTCTGCACATAGACTTGCCAAGAGAGCTGGACATATTCTCTGTCAACATTATTAAGTAACATATGACATTAGATCTATGACATTACCTCAGGATCTTCTGCATCTATTGCATTTAACTTGATTTCATTTGTTGTCATATATCGTATCAACACATCCTGAAAAAATATCAAATTAACATAAATGTCAGTTACAACAAAAAATTAATATAAAGGAATCAAATTCTGTGTCTAATATTCATTTTTTTCATTACCTTTTCTTATGAAATCATTCTTTTTTAGGGTTAAAGTTTTGTTTCAGTGTTAACACTGCTAAGATAATATGAAAACTTTGAAGTTATAGTAAACTTCTTTTTTTTCAAACAAAATCAATCACCTTTTATTATCATATACATAATCTTTAAAAAAAACAACAACAAAACAACTTTACAACAATGTATCAAAGTAAAAAGACTGTCAGTATCATTTACATCAAATTAAAAGGAGTTATCAATTTTACCAGTATTTTGCTATTTTCCTCTTTATCTATGTACTGGTCATGAAATATGTGTACTGATCCCATAACTGCTAATTTGCCAGAATTCTGAAACAATAAAATATAAATATGTGAACAGTCCAATGTTAAAGATATGCTATACTCAAATTTGATACTAGAAAATATTGATAATTGCTACACAGTCTCTTTGTAAATATAAAATAAACATGTTTTGACTTTACACAATAGATATGTTATGTTCAAAATTCTACACACTATCGGTGGTCACAGTATGAATATATAGTCATTAGAAAACAAGCAGTTTTTTTTTAAGAAAAGACAAACTTTACTCGACCTGTAATAGGGAATGCAGCTTCCCACACATAGTTTATTTATTCTTTTTATCAAATCAAACATATTTAGTATGAATTTCATAGATTTCAATAATTTTTTTTTGATTAATAATAACAATAATATTTTACTCAATGATGAGCATGGTATATCTTCAACGTTTTTACAGTAACCTTTATGCATTATCATCATTCAATTGCTAGCTAAAAATATCTACAAATTTTTTACACCAGTATCACTTTAAACGCATATAATCTCTTCAAAGGGATATAATATAAAACATATAAAAATATAGTTAAGTCAAATTTCATGTAAAAGAAAACAATATCAAGTGTTTGTATATGAAATAATTATATAGTGTGCAGCAGTGTGTATATATTGATAACTAGATACGTACTGCATGACTGTATAATGCACAGACTGGTCTATTAAGAGGAAAGGAGACACCACCAGTAGATAATATGGCAACAGCTGGTTTCATTACTGTAATTGTCGCACCATAGGGATACAAAAACTGGAGCGCACTGAAAATATACATCAATGTTTATTTCAAAATAATACAGCTTTACACTCTTGTTCATACATTATCATGATATGTCCTCATTTTGTCCTGCCTAGATTTTGAACCAGTTGATATATGTAGTTTTAAAGATTTCAGTATCAAAATAAATAAACGAAACTAACCTAACAATCATTAGACTAGCCACTAGAGCCTGGTAAGTCTGCACAAATTGCAGACTGAGTGACCTGATTAAAATGGCTGATTAGGCTTTAGTATATATTGGCAGTAATTAAATGGTTACTAATTTATTTAAAGTACATGTAATGTTGTATATTATGAAACTTGCACTGATACCTAATAACACAACATTGCTGACTGGAAATTAGTCTTTCTCAACAGTCAACCATTAGTGTACAAGAGATATCAGTTCTGCATTTAATGTTAACGGCAAATAAATGCAGTTCAATTTTTTTAAACCATTTGGTTGGGATAAATTAGTGGACCAAACTATTAAACACTGTAGTTAGTTTGAATTAACAGTAAGCGTGTATATATAATCTGATAAATACAGCAACTTTAAAATTTATAATTTTTTCAAGAATCAAAATAATGATATGAACAAATCTGTAATTAATACACTATTATTTTTAAAACAATATCTTTTGTGTTCTAAAATTATAGACATTTTATTATTTTTTTTTATTTCTGATTACTTGACACTGTAAATAAAAGAAAGATAGATTCTTCAAATGAAAAGACAGAGACTGTAAACTTACGTAGCATTATTTTCTTCATCACCATAGCCTATATTTTTGCCTGCAGCTTGACTAATTGCCCTATTCAGTACACCATTAGATATCAAACACTCCTTTGGGTGGAAATATTTGTAGTAGGATGTTCTTACAACAGCATCTATTAATAAACAGTTGAAAGGCTATTGAAGGACTTTTCATTCATATAACAGGTTGTGAAAAGAAAATCCACTTGTTTGAACATTTAACAAATAACCTCTTAATGAAAACAGGAAAGCCAGACCTATGATACCATTTACCAATGACATATTTTGTTACATCATCAATAAAAATTGTTATTTTTATCTTAAAATTAATACACATCATAAAACCTTCAATAGTATGACTGGTGAATGAATAGTACCAAAACTTACGTCAGAAAAATAATCACATTCAACCTTCTAGCAAATTTTTTGTTCTTAAAAGTTATGTTTAACTTACAAACATATAGAACGTAATCAAATATGTGCTAGTCATGTTGCCAATAAGCCAATAACTCATCTAAATCCATATTAATCTGCCAAGTTTTAATTGGTCTGATATATCTATGGGCTATTAAGTAATGCAAACATTTTTGAACTTTCTGTTTATTGCAAATTTCCAGTCCAAGGTAGCCCTTTCTTCACTATTTAAGGCATGAAATAAATTTATTCACAAAGAGATAACACCATGATACTCTGCCCTTACAACAAGACAATTGATTTGTACAGTAAAGAAATAAATATAATAGCCTTTATCAACATACCTGTATTTACATTAACACCAAATTCTTCGAGGAAAAAGTTGATATTTGTATCAAATCTAGATTCCCCACCTTCTCCTGTCATAACTAAAATACTTCCTCCTGTATCCATGTAACGTTTCATCACATCAAACTGTATACATTAGAAACAATATGTTTGTATAATTTAATGTGCTAATTCTTTATCTTAACGATTTTATAGTACCAACAATATTACAAGTATATATAAAAAGTTGAAATGTTTTGTTCTTTTCTTTTCCTAATTCTTAACTATTGCACCAAGAGGATTCTTATACATATATAAATATATATATAAACATCAACTGCTTTGAGTTACCATGCACATGCACATACAAGGAAATGAAGAAATTGTCTTTTAAAAGAAAACTCAATAATTTTATAATTTTACATAGAATATTGTACACATTTATATAGGATTGAAAGTCACTTCTTGCACAACCTTATCCCAAAGAGAAAATAATATACTGTCCTCTCTTAAAATGGAAAAAATATATGTCTATTATGAAAAAAAAGAAGAAAAAAGTTACAGAACAATTATGCTGAATGTACATGAAAGCATCAAAATTGTTTATAAAATAATTCATCAAATTTATACCAATTTAATAACAACTTACCTCAGCTTGTGAGAATTTCTCTCTACTACCAGCCAGAACAAATATTCTAGCACCAGCAAGCTTCTCATCTGTGATTTCATCTTTATTTCTTTAAACAAAACATAAGTAATATTAATTTGCTATCTACTCATGTTTGGCTAAATCAGCAAATAAAAGAAGATATCAAAATATAATGTGAAGTATGGTGTTTTTTTAAACTCAAAATGAAACTGTGCCTGCTATGGGCTATTTATATTTCATTTAAAACATACTCAAATTATATTTCTGTAGAATTATCCAGATAATTAAGTCTCAAGTAATAGCTGTCAATGTTGAACTTTCAAAAAACAACAACAACAAAACTTACACATTGATCTTCCAAGTAGATCTAAGTTTTCTGTTTAATGATTTGAAACCACTACTAGGTGTAAACAGTTCCTTCTTTGTAGCATTAAAGAGGATCACGTTGCTTTGACCTTTATCTTCCATACCCTGAAATATAAACCAGAGATATACACTTATAATACATAAATGTGTTTCAGTACTTTTCGGTTAGCATTGGAGTGTCTTTGGGTTGACCAACCCCATCTCATTGGGAAGACATATATACTGTTTTGCTGTTAGTCTTAGCTCATGGTACTTAACACTGTCTTTGAAACAAGATGGAAAACAAACAATGCCAGAACTATACAAATAATTGTTATCAGTTTTTTTTTAAGGTATTTTCTGCTTCAATAATTAATTAATTATGAAACAAGGTTACAACAGAGCAAATTTAATGGGAAGAACACAGAGCATAGGTCGGCCAAATTGAAAACATTATATGTCATCATTTATCCTGTTGCATCTTTGTTTTTGTTTCTGTTGAAATTACCTAATGTTATCAGCTCAAGTTAAAGGGAGACACAGGCAAAATTTTCATTTCTTAGTTTTGAATTTTTCATTCATTATTCCGTAAATGCCCTCAAAATAAATATATTAGACAGTCAATGGAACAAAACTTTTTTCCATATAAAGAATAAAATGGTTGTTTCCTAACTTGACCCGCGTGGGTCAGGTTAGAGTGCTATGATGTCGCAATATTTGTCAAAGTAAACTCTGGAAACGTTAAAGAACATTTCAAATGAATGACATAGACTTGTTTCAATCATACAATATCCAAAATATCTGTTATTGACTTGTTGTAACTCAAAGGGTTAATTCAAGTCACCTGACTTGTTTTAAAACTATTTGGTGATTCTATTGGCGTCTAAATTTTGTTCAACATATATAGATATATTTACGTTTCAAACCCAAAATATATAGAATTCAAACAGAAATTCATGCTGAAACTTCAAGAAACATCATTCTAGCCTGATTTGAGTACATAAGATAATTTAAATATTTTTGTCATTATTTTGTTTGAATATCCCTTTAAATATTTAAAAAAATTACCTTTTTAATACCATAACCAAATTATATTTTACTCAAGCAAGAAGATTTGAGAATGATGATTATATTAGACACATACAACATTTCTATTTAAACAGAATTTTTTTGCAGAAATGAGTTAAATGCTTGATTGCAATAAAAACTGACAGATTTAATAATGATATACTTTGGCTGAAAACTTTGTCAACTTGACTAATGTAAAGACTGGCCACAAGCGCCACATAGATGTAAGCCATTACCAAGAGGTAAGCTTAAAATTAGTGAAGTTGACTACACTATGTGTTCACCATTTTGAAAATATTCTTTTCATCATTACTCACGTGAAACAGAGTGTTATGTCCCTGATTTTCAAGATTAATTTTTTATATAAACTTCTACATGTATGTTATAACCTCAAGGGATCATGTATCACTTAATGATTAACTAAAGTTTTTATTAAAGTTAAAAAAAACATTGCAAACTGGTTAAAATGAAACTAAATATTTATAATGTATTAATATGTCATTAATTGTAAAATATGACTGACATATTAAACTAATACTATTGATATTGAGAACAGTAGAGACACACTGACAATTGATTTAAATGGTTCTAGTTCTACTGTGACAACTGAATTTCCATTTATCCCTAGTAATATTGAATAATTAATTAATCATCATATAGATCTATCTAATAATGCATTATAATCAAGAGTGACACTAATGATTTGAAGAGAAGTGTAAAATAAAATAACCACACAAAGACTGGACTTCAGCAACCAATAAATCCCAAGCTAATACGGGCAGCACGAAATACCCAAATACACCCAAATATTGCCCAAATATACCCAAATATTGCCTAAATATACCCAAATATTGCCCAATAAAACTAAAAATAAATGTTTTATCCTAAAAAAGCGCTGTTTTTATCATGAATACAATATACATTTTCACTAAGATATAATCAACCATACCCAAATATACATTTCCCTATCATTGCGTTTTGAACCAAAATACAGTCTATATGTACATCATTAAAGCTATTTTTTTAAATAACATGGACACTTGTATATGATATGAAATTTCAACAAAATTACACCTTAAAAATGTAAGTGTAGACAACAAATATCATATCTTGATTTAAAATTGCAAGTACATTCATAAAGAACCTATATAGTACTAAGATAAGCAAATGTCACAACTTTATTTTCTTACAACATCGTAACTGTCCATTTCAACGGAATGAATGGAAATTATAGCAGGCTAAGTCATATTATATTTAATAAATATTTATTTATTTCTCATTATAATCTATATTTTATACAAACAAAAATAAATATTGCTATATTTGGGTATATTTGGGTGCATTTCATTCTGGGTATATTTGGGTATTTCGTGCCGCCGAGCTAAACGCCCAATTATCCTCCGTCTTTACCGAAGAAGATGTTGAGAGTTTACCGAACATGGGCCCTAACCTTCAAGAAACAGCCCCTCCACTGCAGATCCATGAGAAGGGTGTCAAGAAGCTCCTTGAGAATCTCAACCCACACAAGGCCACTGGACCGGACCAGATCTCATCCAGATTTCTGAGGGAACTGGCTTCAGCCATATCACCAATGCTGACACTCATATTCCAAGCTTCACACGACCAGAGCCAAGTACCAGATGACTGGAAGGGCACACTAGTCACACCACTATTCAAGAAGGGAGACAAGAGTAAGCCTTCAAACTATCGCCCAGTCTCGCTGACATCCATCTGTTGCAAGATTATGGAGCACATTGTCCATAGCCACGTGATCAGTTTCCTCGATCATAACAACATCCTCTCCGATATGCAACATGGCTTTCGGAAGAAGAGATCATGCGAGACGCAACTGATCACCACAGTCCAGGACCTTGCAACGGGCCTGAACAACAAACAACAGATCGACGCCATCTTACTAGACTTCTCCAAGGCGTTTGACAAGGTCCCCCATCGACGTCTCTCGGCCAAGCTTCACCACTATGGGATCAGAGGCAAGACTCTGGGTTGGATCAACAGCTTCCTCTCACACCGTCAACAACAAGTAGTACTCGATGGGAGACATCCTCTCCAGCACCATTCACATCAGGCGTCCCGCAAGGCACAGTCCTAGGGCCTCTCTTGTTTCTAGTCTACATTAACGACTTGCCAGGCAGGGTCTCCTCCACAGCACGCCTCTTCGCAGATGACTGCCTACTATATAGGACCATCAGCTCTGAGGAAGACAGCATTGCACTACAACAGGATCTTGACCGCCTACAAGAGTGGGAGCAAGACTGGTTGATGATGTTTAATCCCGACAAGTGTGAGATGATTCGCATTACAAACAAGCGGAAAGTGATAACTTGGTCCTATGCCATCCATGGCCAAACACTCAAGCAGACGAACAAGGCAAAGTATCTGGGTGTCACACTTGACAATATATTTACGCTTTCCTGGAACAGCCAAATTGACGCTACTGCAAAGAAGGCGAACACCACCACTGCCTTTCTACGCAGAAACTTATCACACTGTCCACAGAACATCAAGGCGACATGTTACAAAACACTGGTTAGACCTCAGCTCGAGTATGCTTCGTCAGTATGGGACCCACACACCAAGGCCAACATCAGTAAGCTCGAGAACTGCCAACGAAGAGCAGCAAGGTTCTGCACAGGTGATTATCTTTACACCAGCAGCGTTACCAGTGTTTTTTTTCACTTTTGGGGGAAGGGGGTCCGTGCCCATTGGAGGGGGAAAAATGCAATAGGAGGGGGATTTTCATACGGATCTAAAATATTGATGTGTCACATGATAAACTTGTTGGGATACCAGGAGTAGCTCCCATTACCTATATGAATCAAAGCACAGAACGCGCTGAATTTGTTTGGGTCTCAGAATGTCAGAAAGGTAAAGGTTGTGAGATTATAAAACAATGTGTTTTTGTATAGTGCCACCAATGCTCTCCAGTGTTTTAATTGTAGTAGATTGGCTATAAGACTAATTGCAACACTGATATTCAATCCAATGTTTATTTGACTTAAACATTTTGAAGAAAGAAAGAGTTGCCTTCACTGGGATTTGAACTCCAGACCTCTCGCTTCCTCAGCGAGCGCTCAAACCACTCGGCCACGGTAAATTTACATATAAATGGCCTGAAGAAAACCATTTATTTCATGCTTTCCATTGTTTTATTGTAATATATCAGATGATTATATTCTGATAAACCACTAGTGAAATTTATAAAATATAATTTTCACTGTAGCCGGACTATATCTGATGAAAAGAAAATCATAACTTAATGGAATAACAGGCAGAAATAAATGCCGTCATGCGTAAATTTTGCTTCTTTAGGAAAACAAAGTCGATGTCACCATACATCATATTAAAAATGTAACAAAATGAGAGAAATTTAACAGAACTATATTTCAAAATTGATAATGTGACGTCATGGTGTGATGACGTCACAATGGAGAATGCGCGACGTTACGCGGCAAAATCAGTAAAAAAAATACTTAAAATCACTTAAAAAGCATGAAATAAAAAGAAAATTTATTTGTTTTACATGCAGGATTGAAATATATTTCATTCGTGAAAATATTGCATCTTGTGTTCACTCAGTGAAATTATATTTCAATCTTACATGCAAAACAAACAAATATCCTCTATATTATTCTAAATTAGGGTTTGTAACGACGCTAACTGTTGTTTAACACTTGTGCGCTTACCAGAAGCATGCATATCTATAAAGAATGAAACAATATTAGAAATCTTCGACCATTCGGGAATTACTTTGCTTGAAAATTAATGCCCCTGTCATGTGACCATATTTACGCAGCGATCTCCCCTGAATTTTTCGGCCTTAGTGTTACATATAAAGCGGACTACTTTCGGCATTTGCAATTAACAGCATTAGAGTCTGAAATTTTGCTACCATTATTTGTTTGGTCTGACGACCCAAACAAATAAAAACCTTGCTTAACAGTAAGTCTTACAGGCATAAAATAAAGCATTTTTCGGCAGTTAGTTGCAAAAAAAATGATATTTATTGCAGGCAAACTTGGGCTGCCATATTATAGGGGGAAATTTCAGCTTTGAGGGGGGAAAAAAACATACTATTTTGAGTGGGGAATGGGGAGAATTTCGCCGAATATTTTGGTGAAAAAAAACACTGGTTACTGCAATGATGGAAGCTCTAAGCTGGGACACTCTAGAAGCCCGCCATCAGCAAACCAAAGCAGTGATGATGTACAGAGTCATTAACAGCCTGGTGGATATCCGAGCCCATCACATACTGATCCCTGCTGGAGTACACACCCGAGGCCATGCCAACAGGTACCTACAACCCTTTACCAGTGTCAACTCATACAAGTTTTCATTCTTTCCTTCTGGGATCCGACTTTGGAACAGCCTACCAGAAGTCGTGATGACAGCCCCGTCCCTAGAGGTCTTCAAGATGAGGATGGGTGCGCTGCATGAGTAACTCTGGAGCATGGTGTTTTTAACCTGTTTTTAGCTGCACTTGATGTTCCCTTCACTCATGTAAATAGTCACAATTGTGCGACGATGCTCCAGAGGGGCCCAGCACATTATCCGGAAGAAGAAGTAATACAGAAAGTATCTCGTTCATTCAAAGGTCAGTATTATATTTACAAACAAAAAACAATTCTTACTGTTTTCAGTTGTGGTGTTTTATCTGTCTTGAACAAAAGGGTACTTATCTTAAGGACAGAATAGAAAATACTATAAATATTAATATATGTTAGGTATTCTTTATCCTGATGCAGGTTTGGTCCTTAGCCCCAACAAATTACGAGGAAACAGGAGCTCTCAAGCAAAATGTTTTGACACAAAAGCGTGCCTAGCTACGGGCCATTTACGAAACTATATGGTACATTCAGGCTGCTGAATAAGTGAATATTTCTGTATTAATGAAATAAATTTACAAAGAACAATAAATTTGTTACAGAAACACGTATCGAGCATATATAAGTAAATATTTTTAACGTTACCTCTGCAGTAGGCGCCATACTTGTAAAAATATGCAGGTGTATTGTGGGTAATAATCTATTTGGAGTAAGTACTAAATAACGGTCTCCGGTCTTCACGCAACTCCGTTACAAACCGTACAATTTTAAGTCATCATTACTAGTTTGACTGGTTTAAGTGTACATAATATATGTAAATGTTGTACATCTATGTATTTTTGTGTGTGAATCTGGTGGCGTTTTTGTGTCTGTGTGTTCTCCAGGACCTCATTTATGGGTGGGGTATAAAATATCTACATGACGATGTACTTCGCGGCAGTCAGAACTTTTTCAATAGAAATTACAACAAATTGAAACATTCTGAAGCAATGAGATAGCTAAATGTCGAACACTTATGATTGTTTGGTAAGATATTACATGTATTGTTGTGTCTGTGGTGTCATATAGTTCTCTCCTTTTGCTCGTTTTGTTAGTTGGGTGTTACCATACCATTATTTCTAATGAATAACGTATATATATATATATATATATATACGGTGGGGGGGGGGAGGGAAATATATATATACCCATGATATGTTCATTGTAGAATTTCAGGTCAGCACATCTTTCAATGATGCTCTTCTTTACCCGTTTTTGAGATTGTTTCCTTTTTTGGGTATTACTGTTCCATATAACTTAATTCATGAAGGTTACCTTTTATTATTAGTATTATTTGTAAATAGTTGATTTGCACTTTTCATTATTTCATACAAGGTATATCTTACTGTTTCAAGTTTATTGACATCATAGTTTGTGTATTCATATTATATATATGCACATGTATACCTGTTAAAACTCTGAGGTTGATGACACTTAATTAGCGTTAAACTTAATCGGTCCATTTTAATAACTTGAATAAATTTCAACAACCTCAGGATTTAGCGTGTTCAAAGAATCCACTGCTCTATGACTAAATATACTTTTGTTTCTAGTGTGGTTACTTGCCCTTTATTTGAAAATTTTATATATCTGTGTCGGTCTGTCCTTTTGTGTTGGGGTTTTCTCTAATTTTTGATATTTATTTTTATCTTTTATCAATTTTACTGATTATTTTGTACGTTTCTATCCTATCTACACGTTTTCTTCTGTTTTAGAAATGCTTATTGGTTAAATTTTTACATCATTAGTTTACGCTTCCGTATTTGATATAGAAAAAAGAGTTCAAAACAATCTGATTAAAATCAGCCCCTAAATAACACTACATGTAAGATATAATTAGATCTGTTAGATCTGAACCTTAGTCAGATTGGAGTTCAAAGGTAATTTAGGCACTAACTGAAAAATATATACAGAAAAATAAAATCATCAACACATTCAAGCGGGCTATTTCTAATATACCAGTAGTTATACAAAGAGTAAAACGTTCATGCCATTTCATGAAAAGCGGCGCCCGAGGTTGAGGTGCCTAAATCGAGCAGTGTTTTATTATATTCCTTGCCAGATAATTCTCGAAGTACCCTGGTGACTTGTCTGGACGTTTTCTATGGCTATTTTACCTTCTTTTAAACTTTAGGTGACCACATTACAGAGTCATACTCAAGATGTGGCCTTACACGTGATTTATAAAGTTGTAGAAACATTTCTTTGTTCATTTAGATAAAAAAATTAACATTTAGTCATAGGTTCCTATTGGCCTTATTGACTACTAATGTTACTAAATGTCATTTTAAAATCAAAGATCACTCCAAATCCTTTAGATTCTACATATTGTATCACTTAATTTAATAAAATTAAGTCCATAATAAAATAATTACAGGTTACATTTTGCCAAATATGAATAGTTTTGCATTTATTTTGTATTGAAGATCATTTTCTTTTTCCTTGACCAGTCGCATGCGTCAAAGATCTATATTGTCATGAAGTCGGATTTATGACAAAATATAATTTGGTGTCGTCTGCCAAAAGTTTAGCTGTAAAGGTAATTGCACCAGGAAGGTCATTTATAAACATTAGAAAGAGAACAGGTTCTATAACACTACCCCAAGGAACTCCTCTTGTTACAGTTTGCCATTCTGAATAAATCCCATTTATCATTCTGTTGCCTTCGTTTTAAATTTTTCTGCGATAAATAGCCTAGTAATCTTTGAAAACCCTTTCAAAATTCCATATAATTTAAGAGACACCCGTTCATATTCATTTTACTTTGGGGAGAGGGGGTCGGGCGCCGCTTTTCATGAAATGGCATGAACGTTTTACTCTTTGTATAACTACTGGTATATTAGAAATATCCCGCTTGAATGTGTTGATGATTTTATTTATCTGTATATATTTTTCAGCTAGTGCCTAAATTACATTTGAACTCCAATCTGACTAAGGTTCAGATCTAATTATATCTTACATGTAGTGTAATTTAGGGGCTGATTTTAATCAGATTGTTTTGAACTCCTTTTTCTATATCAAGTACGGAAGCGTAAACTAATGATGTAAAAATTTAACCAATAAGCATTTCTAAATCAGCTCTTTTAAGGGTTAATATTATACACTTTAAGGGCTTTTCCCTTCTATATGCTTATAACGTGAATTGAAATGCATAAATTTACCACCGAAACTTAAGGACGTTTTCTTTTTTAGATTTTCCTTTGTCATGCTTGCGAGATTGGGTAAGTAAAATGGAACGTGTAAGTTCCATAGCTTTTTTCTCACTATTGATAAATAATTGTCGAATATATAAAGCTTGGAAAGGAAGTAAACCATTAAGGGCAAGCCACTGTTTCAGTGAGAAAAATCTTTACTCTCATTGTTTAGCAGGAACAGATTTTAGTGTTTCAATAAGCTTCTACATAGCTTCCAAGACAGGCAATCTAAAATAAATTACTACAACTTAATTAAACATAGAAGTCAAAGATAATGTTTTCCACTGAAGCGTGCCCTTAAGAAACTATGAAAATTGGACATAAAAATAAAACCATAAAAGAAGTCCTAGATTTCAAATACTTTGTTACAATCTTTAAAACAAAGCTTAAGAGGCATTATAGCTGTAATATGTTTTTTTTTCAAAATCATAAAGTGTATCCAACCCTACTGTATACATATAAAAACTTTTCAAAAATCTTCTTTTTTTCAAAATAAAAATATCTATGAATAAATGAAATACATGCACATGTATTTTGATTGGCTAATAATTCTTAAACTGCTTTTGATACCGATTTTAACTAAAACTAATAAACTTCTGTTGCCTCTTCTCTTCTGATAGCCGAATGAATGCCGCTTGCATGGAGATAGTGCGGCGTCTATCGCGCTTTTGAACTACTTATGTATGGTGCTTTTACGGAGCTTTTTTTTTCTAAAACGCTCTTACTGCGACTTTAAGGCGCTGTCACGGCGGCCATTGCACTCCCAATGCGATTCTACTGCGTTCATCTGAAAGTGCAGAATACGGTATATATAAAACGCAATAAATGTCCTTTTCACCATGGATGATGAACGGCAGCAAGCTGGAATACTGCTTGCTTGCATGCAGGTGCTGCAGATACACGACGATTCAGATAATTATGGTACATGTTAATATTATTCTCGACGCCGGATGAGGCCCAATTAAACGGCTAAATAAGTTTGGGTTCGTTTTCGGCTGAATGAAGGCAGACGAATTCAGCATGGCCATTTTCACCTTTCAAAATTCCATTTATTTAGTTCTGCCCATTATGTTTTCTCGTTTAGAGCACACACAATTTTTTTTTACTTGAGGACCATATGCCGCTATCATGGAATGTCACATTGAAGGTTCCATGATAACCGCCGTATGAACACATCTGCGGATGTTTCTAAATCTATAATTTAACCATTACCATTAAAAATGTTGAAATCTGCTTAAGCTAGCCGGTGCTAGGGGGAGTTGACGGTAATTTGCAGTTTTCAATACCGTCCATGAACAGGCTCAATCAAACTGGGCCTGCAACATTTTCAATTTTGTCGTTTCGTGCGTTCTTTAAGGAGTCTTTATTGTTTAGTTACTTCTACAATATACGGGTGCCGCCGACCATGTTTGATGACCACCTGCACAGACTACGCCTTCGAACCACCAAAATCGGACACACGGTATCAAAAAGCGCTACATCCTGGATTAAAACTAGCAATAGCACTGCGCCATCTAGCTTCTTGGGACAGATATGCAAGCTAGTATAGAAGCGCAGTCCGAACGTAGTCAATCGCCAATCAAAACGAAGAAGGCATTTCGACGCCGCGGAACCACCGTAGCAACGCCATGATCGCAGTGAGGACGCCGTGAAGTCTCATTGTCATCACAAATAACATTTTTTTTGCGATCTCGCGGCGCTTTGTTCAATTTAACAACGCCGTGCAAACGCAGTAAAAGCGCAGTCTAATGTGACAGGGCCTTAAACTAGCTAGATAGCTTCCTCACATAAAAATTCAAACTTCCTGGCGGAATTCGAACTCACAACGGTGAGGCAGTTTGTTCAATATACTAATGATGTTTGAGACACATAACTAATGTTTTATAGAATATTACAAAATAAATCCCTGAGAGAATCACTAAATATTATATAGTTACAGGTCAAATTACGTATGATTTGGGTAGAAAATTAGTTACCACATCTCACTTTACACAGCACACAATATACAAATATTGACGTACGTTTGTATTGCGTTTTTCTAATTATTTCTTTTACAGGATTCAAAACATTTTATGCTGATACTGATAATGTATTGACAAAACTGCAGATTTGTAAATAATTGTACCTCTAAATCGACCTTGTATTTGTTCTTTGACATTCGTTATAGTTCATAACTTTAGACACATTGATGCAAATATGTATTTTATTACATATAGACAATCTCACTAAAACATGTCATCGGTTTTTCTCCTTTACTCGAAACAACCTAGCGATTAGTTAGTATTGTTTACACGAATTTATTTTAGTTCGATTCGGTTGAAGCTCGAATCCGTATGTGAGTTTAAAGTTTCTTGCTCTCGAAAACAAGGGCTGGCGCCTGACAGGAGAGGGCCCCGATAATGGTGTTATAAATTTTGGCCCAACCCTTTTGTATATATACATTTATGTATTTTTGTATAATTGTGAAAATTATGTTTGCATATATATACAATAAAATATGTTTAAACTGATACCAGCAATTTTTAGATTACTAGTCCGACGCGCACTATATTTAGCCACGTCAGTGTTAGTTAAAAGGTATAGAAGAGATAGTACTCAGTAATCTTTCAATTCAATGGAAGCTGATAAACCTACCTCAAAGTTTACTGACATTGTTAAATGGCATTGTATTTTCAGTTTTTGACAAAATATAACGAAGTTCTTTTTTTATTGTCATCAATAATATTTTATCTTTTCAAAGCATATATAAAGCAGCACTTCATGCACCTTTTCTGGTGCTTAATATGAAAGTAGGTTCTAAATAAACTCGTATATAATTGGGTCCTTAATAAAATATATGCATGCATGCCAACAAGTCTTTATGTGTTATCACATGCTTTCACACCAGCTTTATATCCTCTATTTTCAATCATCGTGAAATCTTTACCGCCATGAAGGATGCAGGTTTTACTACTGGAACGATATGTCAGAGCACGACATAACCTCACCTGCGAGCACAGTGTCGCACATTGTACAACGCTTCGTAGCAGCTTCTCATTTATCACCTTTCCGCGGATTCTGTAATCTTTCTGCATCTGGAACAAATCATGACCACTAGAGCAGAACGGTAAAGAATCTTTTCCACCACCATCATCTTCATTCATTTCATCTTTACTGTCAACCTCCTCCTTCTCCTTATTTTCCTCATCTTTATTTTCCTTCTTCTCATCAATATCATGTTCCTTGTCGTCATCTGGTTCTACAATATGAGGATTTTTAACAGCTATTTAAATTGAAGTAAATTGATGTGAATAATTGTAAATTATTGATTTATTGATGGCATTGTGTGTTAGTGCTAGGATTGAGTTATAAAAACGATCTAGATCATGTAAATTATGAAAATATCTAGACAGCAGTTACTGCTGGTAAAAAATAAGGCATTTCCTTCCTCTAAAAGACGCCACGGAATTTTTTTTCACAAGTATGATTTTTTAACGTTTTAACAGGCATTAAAATCGCCAGAAAAAAATGCGTAGCTATATATTTTTAGAAAGAAGAAAATGTTTCACAGTAACTACAAGATAATGACGTTTAATTTTGTTCTGCCTCTTTTTCTTTAAAGTGCTACTGAGATATTACACAGTGTAGTATTATACAATATACATTATAGTAAAGATAATAAAATCAAAACATGCTTACTACGTACATTTTATGTTAACTAATTATCTATTGTACGAGTATTTACACGTATTTATTATTTGATTGATTTTATTTATTTATTGATTGTCTGATTGATTATTCATTTTTTTCTATTTATCAATACATTGATCTTAATTATTAAAATTGCTTATATTTTCTGTTTCCTTACCAGCAGGTAATGGGCCACATGAGCCGTCCATTATGATTATGTTTGAACATTTCTGAATATTACAAGTTTCCCACTTCTTGTCTGGATCAGTAGTGAAACACCACGGGAATCCCTTTACTCCTTCAGGGTCCCTACAAAACGCATCTGCCAGCTGTATGGAGTAGTCCGGAAACATTTCAGATTTACGAAACCTGAAAAGCAAAAGACAAAATATATTTAGTTATTTACCTTGTGAGAAACTTATTTTATTTATGAAAGTCAGTTTATGACAAAGGTTTGAGGCAAACCTTGGTTAAAGTAGTAAAGAGTGTACGTGTGTTTAAGCAAAAACAAAAGATGTTTTTCCAGGCAATGATATGATAATTATAATTAATTCTCAACTTTGCACCTTGCATCGTTATTAATGAGGTCGGTGGAATTTCCATAAAAAGTCTTAAAGACTCAAAGAAAGCCCCCTAAAGCAGGTTTTATATAATAATTCATATTATTAAAAAGCTTTTGTTTTTGTTTTTGTAATTGCACCAAAACCAACTTGAATTTCAAATAATAAATATCTGTATTGTTTGATATGTCACGCATCGTAATTTTTTTTTATTTTCTATGTTACAAAACCATCGAATGTTTAATATTACTTATGTGCTGTAAGGGATTGAACGTTTTACAAACCTATGCCTTTGAGGTTCTTGGGTATCCCACCGCTGACATTGTCTGCCACTGCTTGTGCACATCCGGTGGCCTACATACTCACGAGATCTACCCTCCTCGTAGCATTCTGACACTTTTTTAAACAAAATATAATGACATGACGTATTTATTGACTCCATCTTCAGGATTAGTAATAGATGTTATCTGGAACTCGGCAAATGTTGCTTTTCCCCAGCTTATCCGTAGGTACAAACAAACTTATAGCTTCACGGTGCACTACCCGTCACAATAGATTAGTCATCGCTTACTTTCGAAGCTGTAACTGTAAAAGTTTGTTTGTACCTACCAATTAGCTAGGAAAACTCCAAATATTCATAATTCCGGAGTAAGTCTATTAATACCAGGAGCAAAAAATTAATAATCATCACCTTTCAAAATGATTTCATGTAATAATTATAGGTCTAGTCCTATTAAATATACGTTTGAACAATGAACTTGGAATGTCGTAAGATGCTAAAATTTTATATATATTTAATAAACGAGTTTTTTTTCATAAAATGTGTTATCATAAATTATCCAAATTTTGATTCTTATCTTACAAAATATTTTTATGTCAAAAAAGAGGAATCGGATATCATACTAGAACTTTAATGAGTATCTGTATCAGACCAAAGTGGTTTCATTAAAATAAAGATTTTTGTAAATTCCCGATAAAGCTAGTGGCACATGCGCAAAATCATCGCTAAACCTTAGCTAAATATGTTCATGAGAAAATATATGCAGTTTTAGTTTACAAGTCAAATATTTACATCATTTGACATGTTAAATAATTTGTAAATTTGTTACTAATTTTGTTTGTAAAACATATTTTATTCATTTATCCACTCTGGAGAGATGTAAGTAGTTCATTGCCTAGCCATTTCCTTCATCAAATACTCATCAAATAATTATTGGTTAAAATTGAAATTTTACTAAATTGTTAAAAATAACCGTTTGTGACAAGAAGAACATATTACAGTAAACAATTCTACAATACCTACGTGCACATGATATGGAGGGCTTTGACCATGTTCCATTCTTCATACAAAGCTCAACTGGGCAGTACTTTATCATAGCTTTAGGAAAGCCTAGAATAGAAAGTTATACAACCCTACAAGGCTTTTTACTCTTGAATATGCTTAAGCTCTTGTTATTATATAAGTATGTAAATATAAAATGACATTCTAGATATGCATAAATGAACTATAAAACAAGTGTATGAAAAAAGTCATTTTCGTCTTTTTTTTCTCGAAGAAAACTTGGTATAGATTAGCTAGAGTCTCTTTCTTTAATACACGCATTATATTCTGGGTTAAATGGTTTAAATATCAAGTTCGAGATAAACACTTCACTTATTGTTATTTTGTTTTAATATGACAATACATACCTTTTATAAGTGAAGCACATGCATACTCTATTCTATCTTTGGATGCAAATATCTCCGTGCAGGTACGTCTCGGATCATCTGATAATAATTTCAGTTGTGGTCCAAAACATTCGCCTGAACATATATGTTACGTAAGTTGACACATAAAAAGTCGAAGCATAATTTAACGACATTTTTTACAAAATTTATAAAATAAAAATTTGTAACTTCTGTTAATGTTAGGAATAACACAATAAGATAGGTGAAAGGACATAATTTTAATATCAAAACATAAATTTTTCTACTAAATTTCAATAAAAATTTGTATTTCATAAGAATATAATATTTCATGATGATCTATTATAACATTTGCTAACACTTTATTTAGATGATCGTGTAGTTGAAACGAAACGATGAGCCTGAAGGAAAGAAATAAGAAAAAAACCCGTATTGTTGAAAGTTCCATTGTCTTTTGCAAAGCAACTGCATAGTGTTAGAAGAAAATATGGAATATAAGAAAAAGTATTAAATCTATGTTTGGTTTCATTAACAAATACAAATGTATTACCGCACGTCCCTCTTAATGCCATTAACGCTATTACCGCACACAATAACTGAAACATATGAAACATCAAAACTTAGATAAGAAATTCACTGAAAATCTTGATAATCTTTCTATAGTTACTATTACAATAAGATTCGACAATACTTAATTAATTCCCTCGAATTGCATCTATAAGTTACTAATATATTAATATATACAATAAAAATATCATATATTTAAAAAGTAGATACAGTTTAAATACACAATAAAAAAAATCAAATTAAAATTACAACAGGTAAATAAACATACTAAGTAATCCATCGTTCTGGCATTCCATTTGGAAATGCTTTAAATACATCTTGAAAATCTAACCAGCCGTAAATCAAGCTCCTAACCTTTCATATAAAAGACCTCTAGAAGTAACGCGTCGTGTTCTTTCTTGATTAATGCAATAAATTAACAATAAAATCAATAACAATGCTTTGAATCTTTTATTCCTTACACCTTTCGTCAAATAATGTGAAATTTTCAATGCAATTGTAGTGTTCACTAAAACGCGCGGGTTCTTTCACTATGTTATTAGACTCAAAGTCATAAAAAGACTTCAGCAACTGTCGAAGACTAACAACCCTTAGACATGTTTGCTAACCTGATTATGTTTTTATTTTACTTGCTTGTATAATTGCTTTAATAGTTACACCATTTGAATGTTTTCGCCATTCAGTAGTTGCCAAAAAAATCAATAGCTCGGGCGCTGACAAAAATGTTTTCTTATATATATTTTACTTATTTCCAAATATCTAGATGGAACCTGGGGTGGTATATGTGTTTATTGACACAAAAATTCTCATGTCAATATCTATATTTCTTGAGGTGATAACTTTACTGAATCATTCACATGAATGACATTATGAAATGTTCGATTCCTGTTCAAAACTTGAAAGAAATACATTTTGTACACATCAAAATGATGTTTTCTGTATTCAATTTAAGTGACTTTACAAAAACATAATTCTTCGTTGCTACAATTCATCTGAAAGTAAAATAAGAAGAGATTAAACAATGTAACATACAGGCAGCTTATTGATTTATTTTTACTTGAATGCATTAAAAAGTGTTTGAATGAACATTAAAAGCACGCAGGAAATAACACAATAATGACAATAATGGAATTAAAATTCATGATTGTCACAATCTTAAATCTAAAATAGAGAAAATAAGAATCCCTAAAGAAAGCCAACACGACAAAATTGAAAATGTTGCAGGCTAGGTTTGATTGAGGGTACTGTCAAGTGCAAACTACCATCCATGCCTCCTAGCACCGGCTTAAGCTGACTTGAACATTTAAACATGAAAAGGTAAAATTTTGAATTAAGAAACTTGCGCAGGTGTGTTCATAAGCAATAAAACTTTCTATTTAATTTCCAACTAGAAGTGACCGCTTATCTGCAATGTACTTAATATAGTATACTCCCTTTTATAATACTAGTACTACTAGTATATGTTGTGAATAGTACCCTGTTTCTGATACAACATATTGTTCTTATATTGTTATCTAGTTTCAAGTTTGTATATTATCAAGAGTCCAAAAGGCAAAGTACCTTTTAATCCTGGGTTTGAGGGATATTAAATACAATAGGCAGTTTTTATTAACTGTGTGTGTAAATCAAACTAATGTTTTAAGAAAATTAACCCAAACTTAAATTTTGTACTTCGAAATGAGCGATGTTGAAAATTGATTATATTAAGACCTAGTCCAATATATCAGACGATACGGGCTTGTTATAGTTTATGATGTTCAGCTCCGACGCTATCTTTGATGCAATACTTCATCTTGTAAAATAGACATGAAAACTATGAATACCCCATTCACTTTCTTGATAAAATTTAAGCTTTCAGCATAACAAATGTTAGAGAAAACATAATCTTATGAACTTTTTCTATTGTCATATTCAATCTATATAAATAATACTTTACACAAAAAAACGATACTTTACACAAAATACGAAAGCCATGCCAAAGTGTTTATCCTGAAAGAACCAGAATCATTCTACTGGAAATCATATTCAGTTATATATCATACAATCCCAAGTCTTGTTAAAATCTGGTTTCGAGCGCATTCTGTAGTGAAAGTTATTGTTCGACAATAAGTCAATATATATTAGTATGTCAACACATTAAAAAATAATTCACAAAGGATATGGAAAACCGGCTAAGTGATTTAAAGTCTGAACTAACAAATGATATTGAAGAAGTGAATCAGCGGTTGGAAGAGATGGCAAACTACAGAAACTTCGGTAAGCAACAAAAATACTACACGCAATATTGTGTTGTGGAATCTACCGTATAATGTTTCTGTCTGAAGATATTACAAACAGAATGTCAGACTTGGTGAAAAAAGTATTGCAGATACCGGACATTTCATTTGTTAATGTAGAGAGGAGGGAATCTACAAGGGAGAATGTTCCAGGCATTGTAGTTTGTGAGTAAGATTCTGAAAGCAAAAAAAAACAAACTTGGAGAGACATTATTTTATAAAAATGTCTACTTTAACAGCTACCAAACAAAAGAGGAGAGACAGTTGTCTACCAATATGCGTATGCTTGTTAAAGCTAGAAACAATGGTCGGTCTAATCTGAAGGTTGTGGGCACACGAGTATTTGAATCTGGTTATACAGGAAATAAGTCATTGGGTAACACAGGAAATAAAAATTCATTGGGTAGTGCCGGTTTTCGAAATGGTGGTGCCGCGAGTGCGGGTGCGAGTAACGATATTGACGGTAATTCCTATAAGGATCAAGGAAATGGCAATGGAGCATGGTGCGGTAGAAGGGGCAACAACAGGGGCGGTAACAGAGGAAATAGAGGTGGACAAAGACAGAGTCTTGGTCAGAGAGGCCATCGTTGATCGAAAATGGCATTTTGGAACGTTAATTCTTTTAAAAATGATTTTATCTCTGAAAATTTTAATTGAGGGAAGCATGTATCAGTATTCTGGACTTAGACATTATGAGTATTGCAGAAGCCCATTTGAGAAGTAACGATATTATTGACATGACTGGTTATAAATGGTATGGTAATAATAGAACTGATATTCACATAAATGCTTGGACAGGTTCTGGGGTGTAGAAATATTTGTTAAAGAAGAACTACTTATAGACTTATCATGTTTCAATAGTTGATAATTCTTTTGAAGGTACATTATGGATTTGTCTTGATCGAGTTTTTACTGTTGTGTGTGTTATTTACCCCCTAAATCGTCGACTAGACACATTGATGCTAATTGTTTCTTTGATAAATTACTTACTAGTATTTATGAATATCAAAATAAAGGTAAAATCTGTATTTTTGTTGATTTTAACGGTCGATGTGGAAATTTGTCCGATTTTATTGAAGGTATAGATGATTTACCAGAACGAAATGTAGTAGACTGTACTTGTAATAGCTATGGTGAAATGCTTGTTGATTTTTTAGTTTTTGTGAATTTTGCTATTATGAATGGTAGAAATTGTGTGAAAAATGATTTTACTTGTATTCGACAACAGGGACTTTCTGTTGTAGACTACTGTCTGGTGGGCCATAATTCTTTACATATGTACAGTGATTTTACAGTTATACGGTCCCGTAAATTCGTACAAACATCAGATGTACACGATTATTTAGGTGTTCCAGACCACTCGGTACTAACCTGGGTGTATAATTTTGAAAATGGTCTTTGTCACAATCTGACTTCTTTGAGTCCGGTCCGGTCGAGTGCAAGTAATGTCAGATTTCAAGTAAAAAAACATTCCATCAGACCTTTCTTCTGGTGAAGTATGTAACAGCCTTTTAGAAACAGTAAGCTCACTGGAACAAGGGTTCCGAACACAAGAAAATATTGATGATGCTTACACATCATTGTGTTCTTTGACTAAAGATGAAATGTATAATAAAATACCTCACAAAAAGCCAGTGTCTGTAAGTTGCTCGAATAATAAACGTAGAAGGGTATATAAACCTTGGTGGAATGATAGCCTTACAGATTTGTGGAATGATGTTTGTTATTATGAGAAACAATGGGTAAAAGCATGTGGTAGAGCAAATAAATCAGCTTTTAAAACTTTATACTTGATAAACGTAAAACATTTGATAAAGCTGTTCAAAAATGCAAACGTCAATATCGGTTTACATTACAACATGATGTACCTCAATTAGTTGAATCTGATCCCAATAATTTTTGGAAAAGCATATACCCATGGTGTATGTAAAAGATGATGGGTCTATAGAAAATGATACTTATAAAGTTTTAAATCATTGGAAATGTACTTTTAGTAACCTTTTGAGTGATTATTCATGTACAAATTTTTGTTACACTCCAAATAATGATACTTCAGAGAGCACTTTTGAAAATAACATTTTGTTTAAGAAGTAATAAAAGCAGTTGAAAAAAAAATAAAATAAACAAAGCTCCAGCTTTTGACAATATTCCATATGAAGTGTTCAAGAATGATATTGCCATCTCCTTTTTTGCATATACTTTTTAATGTCTGTTATCAATCTGGAAAGACACCGTCAGAAAGGCTTACTATTGTGTCACTCGAACTATATTATTTGAAAAACTTAACAATATTGGTGTTAAAGGAAATATGTACAATGCTATACAGTCAATTTATAGTAATGTTTCTTGTTGTGTGAAAGTAAATGAAAACTTTTCTGATTGGTTCAATGTGAATCTTGGTTTAAGACAGGGGTGTATTTTATCTCCAATATTGTTTAATTGTTTTATCAATGATTTAGCTATCAAAATCAATGCTTTGGGAATGGGTATTGACATAGAAGATGGTGAAAAATTGTCAATTTTACTTTTTGCTGATGATATAGTATTATTAGCCTCAAATGAACGTGACCCCCTGCCAATCAAATTGGTGTAATGAAAATAAGATGACTATAAATGATAAGAAAAGTAATATTGTTCATTTTAGAAAAGTATCTACTAGTAAAACAGATTTTCAATTTTTATGTGATAATGCTAGATTGGATATTGTAGAGAAATATGTCTATCTTGGCTTGATTCTTACTGAACATTTGAATTATAATATTACTGCCAAATTTGTATCACAGACTGCTGGTAGAGTGTTGGGTGTTTTAATAGCAAATTTAAGCTTTTAGGTGGAATGCCTCATCATGTATATAAAAAGCTTTATGACTCAATGGTGTGGCCAGTTATAGCATGTGGTGCTGCCATTTGGGGGACTATGAAATTCTCTTGTATATAAACTGTGGGAAATCGCGCTATGAGATTTTTCTTAGGTACAGGAAAATATATTCCAAGCTCTTCTGTAGCCGGTGATATGGGTTGGAATCCAGTTTATGTGTGTTGGTAACTTTTGGTGTAAATTGTCAAATATGGATCAAAACAGTATCAAAATACTGTTATAACCTTGCAAGTACATATTGTAGCAACTGGCATTTTAGGATTAATAACCTCTTTATAAAATTTGGTTGTGTAGATTTTAGTGACTGTATATTACCACTGAATAAAAATCTAGTTGTTGATACAATTGTGAAGAATGCAATGGATGTATTGATAGATGAATGGGCAAGATCAGCTCATTGTATATTTAGTAAATCTGGTGATGGTAGAAACAAGTTAAGGTTATATCAGAAATTTACGTTTCATTTTGAACTGGAGCACTATGTCAATAAAATTATGTCTTATCGCCATAGATCAGCATTGGCTAAATTTAGATGTGGTGTTGCAACAGTCAGATTGGAGATCGGCAGATAGTTGACGATAGAGTATGTCCTATTTGTAATAATGACATCGAAGATGAGATGCACGTATTATTGCATTGCCCCCAGTACACTGATATTTGCAATAAAATATTTGAAAATGCTGCTGAAAATTGTATTTTGTTTAATTCTTATAATGATATTGCCAAGCTTTGCTTCCCCTTGTCAAATGATGATATTGTCAAATATACTGCAAAATCCTGCTACGATATACTTAATGTTAGAAAAGATTTTTTGTACCAATAAATATGTATTTTAATTGCTTCATTTTAGGTGGAGGGTGAGGATACACATTATTTATTAAAAAAAATTGAAGTTGATGATGTGTGTCTAAAATGAACATTTTAATAGCAAAAGAACTTTTATTGTATAAATGTTATAAATGTTTTTTTAAACCAACTAGAATATTTTATCTTCCTGTTTGATAATCACCACTGACTAGTTCATCCATGGTCTGACCATGAGTGATATATGATTTTTTAAGACATTTTTTATTATGCGAAATAGTGCCACATTTACAAAATTCAGTATTATATTAACAAATTTCTTATGGCAGATTTTAAGTTGATGTCAGTGGTTGTTATCAAACTTTTAGAATGTATAAAGACAAAATATAGTAAGTATGTATAGATTGTTTTAGTACATTTATAAGGAGACAACCAGTTAGGGTTTAGTACAGTTATGAGATTACATTCTTCCATTTTAATATTAACAACCCTACAGTAATGTAATTACTCATACAGTTATGTTGTAGGTATAAATATTAGTACAAAACAATTATTTTAAGTATAACATTCAATGCTTGGAATATGCTGTTTTACTTGTAAATGTCTTAAAAAGTAAAAGTCTCCCCGTACATTTAATCAAAGATGTTATATTTTCGATCCTTGAAGATCGTTCAACACGACATAGTTGTTGTGTTTACATGTTATGTGGTATTTTAGTTTCTTCTATTTGTCCTTTTTCAATTTGGGTGGTTCCAGTACTCCTACTTGAATACTGTCTAATCACCCTTAGGATATGTTGCCTGCTTTTTAAATTTGTCTTTTGACGTATAATCTGTGATATGCAGGCTTCATTACCTCACACCCCCTTTCAAAATTTCATTTTATTTAGTTCCGCCCATTGTTTTCTCGTTAAGGACACACGCATTTTTTTACTTTGGGACCATCTGCCGCTTTTCATGGAATGGCACTTACGTGTCGCATTGAAGGTTCCATGATAACCGCCATATTAACACATCTGTGGATGTTTCAAAATTTAAATTTCTACGAGTTCATGATAAATGTTGAATTCTGCTTAAGCCGGTGCTAGTGGGAGTGGACGGTAACTTGCATTTTCCAGTACCGTCCATGAACAGGCTCAATCAAACCGAGCCTGCAACATTTTCAATTTTGCCGTGTTGGGCTTTCTTTAGGGATTCTGTTTTTCTCTATTTTAGAGATATTAATTATGATCTGTTTATATTGACATGTAAATGTGTATAATTATGTAAGTAAGGGAGGTAAATCTACAGTAGATATTATAGATCTCTGTAATATGGACTGTGGAGTTCCTCCTCTTATAAACTATAAAAGTCTGTTATAATTCTTAAAAGAATGGTTATACAATTTATTGTATGTATATTGAAAAAAAAAAGTATTCTTAATCACGTATCAGAATTGATGGCACCTTAATAAATTTGTAGATTAAAAAATGTAATTATCAAAATGTTGCCATATTACCATATATGTTTAAACATTCTATTATATAGCATAAACATGTTATTGTCAGTTACTGACTCCCCTTTCAAAATACTTTTCCACTATCTTATAAAAGAGATTGTATTATAAACTGTGTTTTATGACTATGTACAATTTTGTGTACGTCAATAAAATATCTAATACATAAAAGCATTCATACAAGTCTCAACCATAAAAATACTTATATTAACCCATTACTTTATGAGCATTTTGTGAAAAATGGCTGTTTTCATTGAAAAGTCTCCCTTTACAAGTTCAAATTGCTATAATACTATAAAAACTGCTTCAACACTTATCAAACTTGGCACAAATGTTGACTGGACCATTGCCCTTACAACAACATGCTCAGGCCTAAATTTTCTGTTACCATTGCAACGAGGGGACATCTCAAAATTGGACTCCGCCCCCTTCAAACCCCCCAAACAGAAGTATCTTTTGGTTGGGGGGGGGCCGCGCCGAAAAAGTGGTCGCTTTTTTAACAACATTTCTCAAACAAAAACAAGTGTTGGGGGCCTAAATAAGGCATTTTTTCACCATTTGAGACAACAAAAATGGGGGGGGGGGTGAAAAAGGCGTTAAAAGGCGTGTATATCGCGTAATGGGTTAACAGAAAATGATGAAAATACTTGAAATTACCCAAAATCGCGTTTTTCCATGTTTAAACATGGCCTGTCAAATTTGAAGAAAAATTTTTATTTTGTAGATTTTTTTCATTAACCCATTACTTCATGAGCATTTTGTGAAAACTGGCTGTTTTCATTGAAAAGTCTCCCTTTACAAGTTCAAATTGCTATAATACTATAAAAACTGCTTCAACACTTATCAAACTTGGCACAAATGTCGACTGGACCATTGCCCTTACAACAACATGCTCAGGCCTAAATTTTCTGTTACCATGGCAACGAGAGGACATCTCAAAATTGCCAAAAATCACTATTTTGCGTTGATTTTTTTCCATCAAAATTGATTTCAAAGTGCTGCAACTTCTCAATGGATTGAGAATGAGTCAGATGCTTTTCAGCGTTGGTTACACGTTACCTTATGATTAATCTGGGGTCATTTATAGCCTCTCACAAGTCCAAAATTTTCTTGGCGATGACGGGGGACTCCGCCCCCCTTCAAACCCCCAAACAGAAGGGGGCACATCCCCCTTCTGGCAACCCCCTGATGTATCTTTTGGTTGGGGACCGTGCCGAAAAAGTGGTCACTTTTTTTAACAACATTTGTCAAACAAGAACAAGTGTTGGGGGTCTAAATAAGGCATTTTTTTCACCATTTGAGACAACAAAAATGGGGGGGGGGGTGAAAAGGCGTTAAAAGGCGTGTATATCGCGTAATGGGTTAAACATTTCTTCACAATTAAGTGACGCTATATATAAAATAAGAATTCCTACATCTATTCCCAGTCTGTTTATAACAGTACAAAATATTTTATATTTGATTCTTGTATTACATAAACTCCTGTCTACAGACTGAAACGTAAAGCCTTAAAAGAAAAAAAAATGATTATAAAACAATGTCATTCCTATATTTGAAAAACGAAATAACCAATCTATGATTTTACAAGTTCTAAACACGTTTCTTTAAGAAGGCGTATTGGAACTATTCATATATGCGTTAGCGGAAACATGTTGAATTAACGGAAAAATAATGATTGACCACAGCTTTGAACCGAAACTGTAAACTAGCATGTAATCATACAAATTTTTTCCGTTAAAACATTTTTATTGCCAATGACTTACTTTCATCTTACTTGACATGGTTCAAAAGCAAACTATGGAAGCCTTGGAGGGTCACTTTCGAGTTTCGACTTACGAATGTTTTACTTTTGACTTTCGAATTTTGACTTTTGATTTGTGACTTACGTCTTATGACTTTTGGCTAACCATTTTTACACGTGCTTTAGAAGCTGTAAGCAGCAACTTTGGTTTCAGGTATGTTTCTTAAACGTTTTAAATAATTTCATTGAGATTTGTCATGGTTAAGGAGGGAATTTAATGTTATTTGATATAATCGCATAGTGGTAATATATCAGATTTTTAATTCCACAAGTGTGACTTTGTGTGTTTTGTGCATTCTGCTATGTTATAAATATGTTCATTACATTAGTGCTTATACATTGTTTGTCCTTATCACAAAATATGTCCATGAGTAACAAACAAATAACTGTTTAACAAGTAGACAGGGAATACAAGTTTTACGTCTTAAAATGGCATGGTGCACAGTATTAAACATGTATCGCAATTCAGCATTTTATTGAGCTAACACAGAATCGGTATTTCTCTGAAGTACTTAGATAGTGTTGACCAATTTCATAAAGAACGGCAAGTGGCTTTGTTCCCATTTAACACAAGTCAAATTAACTTAATAATTGTTGGATCGAGCACCCAATAATGCAATCTAATTGTTTGTTTATATCTTTAACAATTTAGAAAAAGAACACTTAAGAAACAAACATAGATATAGGACTAGTTAGAACAAAATATCCTACTAGCATTTTAAATGTTTTTTTTTTTCGCACCTATCAATCTTTAAAAGACGGAGCTAAGAGATTTACCCATTTTTTATATACTATGAATGTATAAAGATTAAGATAAAAGATAAAACTCTTATTTCAGACACAACTACTGGACAAAGGTAACGAGGATGAAAACCTTGATGTTGATCTGTATCTTCATCATCATACTGTTCGGCATTAACAAAGCTTACCGTGCCAAGATACCTACCCTCAACATCTATAACAAACAAAACTCTGCTGATAATAGAGAACTTTCTGATACGGTATGGCATTACGACGTCATTTAGTACAGATAACAGAATTTTTAAACGCTTAAATTTAAAAACGGCATAATGGAATATATAATCCTTTTGGAGACTGTGTCCTGATGTTATAAACAGAGAAATACAAACAAGTTTGGACAATGCAGAGGATACCGTAACAATTGTGGACGTAGGTTTAATGCTGGATTAAACATGTACGTCAAGGGGACGACGTCATGGAAATAATGAGAGCACTTGATCCAGATGGTATTGAGATGCGGAAAGCTCATCGCTTCTGCAACGCGTATACTACGCCAAAAGGGACTAGTTTTTTAATATGACATATGGACCGGTTAAAACAAAGTAAAACCAAAAGGATTTTGTATCCATGGTGATGTAGGAAAAAAATATGGTTTAGAGGTTTCGGACTCAAATAACGACCCACAAACCTTACTGCAAGAATACTTTTAGACACATTTAAAATGAACATTATTAAGTCCCCCCAACCAATACTATATACGTTTGTTGAATATTGGACGGAGAAAAACTGCCATTGCTTTACTAATTGCAGGCAATACTTTTCAGAGACCGATTCTAACAAGATTCCGATTGCTGGTAACTTCGAAAGCGTTTTTGGAAGTTTTGGAAAAAGCAAAATCTACCCAACGCATTGAGGAATTGGGTGGTGTACGATTTAAGAAAAATGGAATTTCTATTGGGGAAATTATTTTCTTTCAAAGAATTACGCGATAATGTTGTAATTTATGGATCTTGGACC